ATCGCCCAAGAGTCGGACACAGCTGAATGAATAATATCATCACCATTATCAACCATTATCACCATCATCATGTAAAATCATAATATGTTTTGTAGTGTTTCTGGCTTAGACCCAGTCATTGGGATTTGCAAACCACGGTTTGCGGTTTAGTATATTGCGCAAATTTAGGCAACTACGATTTGCTCAACAAACCATAAGATGTTACTTGAGCTTAGCCGCCATCAACAATACTGAATAGCTGGACTGCCTTGCCATGAAACTTTTTTCCTATTCTATTTTAGGACAAGTCCCAGCATCTTGTAACTAACGTCCATCCAGGCCTACCTTCTCATTTACCCCTCTTTCCCCGTTGAATCCCCCCCCCCAAAAAAAACTTTCTGTCATTTCAAATTCCAGCAGAATCCATGTTGTTTTTGATGACAAAAATTACTTGTTGCAATGTTTCTTAAGCTCAGCAACATTAAGAGATGGGGACTTCAACTCCCAGAATTCCACAGCCAGTATGAGAGGCTGTTGTGGAGGTTGAGAAACACTGGATAAGAAAAAGATCAAAAACTGCATTTATTTTTGTGTTTTGCTTAAAAAGAGAGAAAAATTAACTTGTGACTTATGGGTTTGAAGATTAGAAAGGACAGCTTATGGAAAGAAGAAAATTATGATGCAACTTTAGAGAGAAGGGGGGCATAACATAAATGTGTTTATAATTGCTGAAGAAGATCAGGAGCCGCTTCTCTAAAAATTTATATTTTCTTTTTTCACTACTTGCTATTTTTCTTTATTATCTTTCCTTTCTTATACGGTTCTACTTTGAATCCATGTTGTTTTCCTGATAGGCTTTGCATGTTTTGCTGGACATGAAGCTGTGGTGTTTCATCACCATGAGTCAGCATCAAGCAGAGCTGTAAAATGGAGGGAGGGGGGGCTAAGAAGATCTACGTGCAAAACTCTCCGTCCTCCCATTCAATCAGGAAACTTGTTCGGACTAGATTAACTGGCGTCAAAACATTCGAGGCATCCAGCTCCATCTTCAATTAGTGCCTCTCCCTAAAATCCTGTATCAGCCTGCTGTCCATCAGTAGCTAGCCTCCACTGAATTTCCAGAGCCTGGGAAACTACAGGAGACTGCAGGAGAAGCCCTTAATGGGACAACCCACCACAGTCAATTTACCACGGCCAATTCACTGCGACCAGCTCACAGGCTGTTGAATTGAATTGTTGAATTCAACAATTCAATTTAATTATTTAAAATAATTCAAAAACTGTTTTAATTGTTGTCATTCACATTTCATTTTGTCCCTCCTTTGGCATCCTTCCTTTAATGATTCTATTCGACTGTTTCTTCGATATAAGTGTAACTCTTGTCCCGTGGCAAACTGTCCCGCAGCGACTTGGCAATGGCGAATTGGCCACACCAAGTTGGCTGCACATTGACCCTTGAGGGAATGTAATTTCTTCTCCTCCTCCCACCCTCAGCACACATGTGCACATATTAACCCTTTCTGTTCGTAAGTTGAACCGTCAGCAAAGGCCACAACCTGGGCCCAAGGCGTGGGAGTTATTAATTGCTAATTAAAAGCCACTAATGGCCCTGCAGTTTGCTGAATTAGAGCTTTCCACTCTCATGGCCTTAATTAGACTTCTTAACCGATGACATCGTTTTGAGTTGCAACCCGTTATCTCCCCACCCTTTTGGTTTAATCTCCAAGGACCGGGTATTTTGCTGAGGGTGGCAAGGAAAAAACTCTGCTGACGGCAGTTCGGCTTTGGCGGTTTGCAAATGGCACACTCAGCCAATGGATTTGCTGAGACAACTGGTGGCATGGAAGAGAGATACGAGGTCTTTCCACCGCCTTTATGTCTATCTTTGCATGTCCTAAAGATCTTAGAAGTTTATCTGTTGGAAAGAAGTCAGCTTCTTCAGATAATAAAGGCAGTTTTTCCCTTTCCCTTAAACCAATTTTTAAAGGAGGAGACAAATTGTGTTTATGGAATATCCTGAAACAAAAATCAGCAAGGTACATTTCCGCTTAGCCTGTTGCGAGGACTTAAATGCCATGCGCTCATAATTCAAAAAATTAGGTTGAATAAACCTTGTGTAAAGTGATCAGGTATTGTAAACAGAATATGCAAACTCAGCCAAAGGAGACCAGTTACCAGTTGGACCTTGTGTTTTAGTTACTAATAATTTGGTGAAAGGTGAATATTTACTCTAAGGATCTTTGTTCATATTCTGTAGCTGACTGCAGAACTTTTCATCTTACTGAAGTTGTTAAAATTACGTCAGATAAGCCTTTCTTACATAGCTCTTCAGTATTTTCATGTTTTTGATACTCACCCTGCCTTTCTACTCACGATAGTACTCAAGATGGCTATAACGACGTAATGGCTGGGCTCAATCTGCCCATTTCCAAATCAAAGGGGTTTGCTTCAAAAGTTTGTTTCTTGGCCTCATATCCTGTCATATCCAAGCAAAAGCTCCAAATAGCTCAAAATGTTGATATTATGGATGATTTCTGTAATGCTGCCTATATTTTTATCCTCCTAAGACCAGGGTTGCCCCACCCATGCAGAGAAAAAAGATAGTGACTAAGAAAACAGTGAGCCATAATTTGTGGAAGTAGAATCACTGTATGTTCTCCCAGGTGAGATGCACGTTAATTCCAGTGGTGAAATCTAAAATTTGTTACTACCGGTTCTGTGGGCGTGGCTTGGGGGGGTAATGTGGACTGGGTGGGCATGGCCATTTTTTTTTTTACTTTTAAAACCATTTTTTTCTATAACCTTCAGTGAAGAGGTTGTTAAAAAATGCTTTCAAAAGGCTCTGACGATCCCAGCTGAGTTGCCAGATCAGCAGAGGCTTTTTTTCTTTTAAATGCCTCTGACGATCCCAGCTGAACTGTGCAATCACAGGGGCTTTCTTTTTTTACTTTTAAAAACATTTTTTCGGCTGAAGAGGTTGTAGAAAAAATGCTTTTAAAAGTTAAAAAAAGCCTCTGATGACTGTGCGGCTCAGCTGGGCATGTGGGGGGGCAGGGATTTTTGCTACCGGTTCTCCGAACCATCCGCCTCCATCGCTACCAGATCGGGCAATCCGGTCTGAACCAGGAACATTTCACCCCTGGTTAATTGCAATTGTGCCATTGTTCACGTCCAGAACTCTGATGTCTCTTTCAATTGAAGGCCAGCATGCAGAATCTCTTAGAGGCTATTCAGAAAGATAGCATGGAGAAAATAGGGAAGAGCATAAGCCATAATTTAATTATGGCAGGATATGGAATGATGGTCAGAAGTAGTACCAGTCAGGTAAACCAAATGGGAGTGGAGGGCTGGATCTTTGCATTGCCCAGATTGCTCTTCATTAAAACCATCTGTCTTGACACATCTTCTTATCATTGAGGTTCAAAGAATCAAGAATTTGAAGCTTGAAGTCTTCAGGTTCTCTATCCAGTAGAGGGTGGGAAGCATCTGGCCTGTGAAATTAATCTGGTTGGCCTCATTGGAGCAAGGTGTCTTACCAACAAGTCTTAATTGTAAAGAAGCGTAGGGAATTAAAATAACGTCATCATCTAAATCTCAGGATATGCTGCTCAATTCAGAAGACAATCAAATGCCTAGAATGTGCAAAACAGCAATGTTTAAGAAGACTGAATGTACATAGGATATACCTTTTCTTTGTTGCTTAGTGAATAGTCAACAGCAGTCTTCCCATACATGTAGGGCTGCCAGAGGGAAGAAGGCATCGATTTATTCTCCAAAACACCTGAGGGCAGGATAATAAGCAATGGGTGGAAGCTCATCAGAAGGAGATCCAACCTGGAAATAAGGACAAATTTTCTAATAGTAAGAACTATTAAGCAACAGTTTGGCTCTTGGAGTTTTGGGTACTCCATCACTGGATGTTTTCACGAAAGACTGGACAACCATTTTTCTAAGATGATATCAAGACTTTGGGCAGGAAGTTGGAGTAGAAGACCTCCAAGGTCCCTTCTAGCCTCATTATTCTATGATTCTATGAAATTAGAAGTTTCTTCTTTCAATTGCTATCATTTCTTTCTTTCCGTATTTTTGTTTTTCACTTTCACTGTTCTCTTTATTCTGTATTCATGGGGCGTGATGGCTCAGCAGCTAAAGACACTGATCTTGTCAGCTGGAAAGGTGACAGCTCGGGTTTGAGACCTGAGCACCTGTGATGGGGTGAGCGTCCATTATTACCCAGCTACTGCCCACCTAGAGTTCAAAAGCATGCAAAATGCAGGGAAATAAATAGGTGGAAGGAAACAGTGTTCCATGCTCTTGGCAGATAGTCATGCTGGCCACATGACCATGGAAGTGTTTTCAGACAATGCTAGTTCCCTTGGCTAAAAAACAGAGATAAACACTGCCCCCTAGAGTCAGACACAACAACTGGACAGGAAAAATCTTTACCTTTACCTTTTTATTCTATATTCATTAGTATTGTCTTTATGTTCTCTTTAAAATTGTCTAATAAAAATTTATATATAAAAAACAAGGAGGAAACTTCAGGTAGTCCTTGACTTACAATCACATTTGAACCCAAAATTTCTGTTGCTAAGTGAAACATTTGTTAAGTGATTTTTGCCCCAATTTAAGACCTTTCTTGCCACAGTTCTTAAGTGAATCACTGCAGTTGTTAAGGTAATCACAGTTGTTAAATGAATATGGCTTGCCCACTGATTTTACTGATCACATAATTCTGCGACACTGCAACTGTCATAAATATGAATCAGTTGACAAGTGCCTGAATTTTGATCATATGACCATGGGGATGCTGCAATGGCCGTAAGTGTGGGAAAACAGTCATAAGTCACTTTTTAAGTGCTGTTGTAACTTTGAATAGTCACTAAATGAACTGTTGTAAATCAAGGACTACCTATACTTACAGGCCATAGATATTCCAGCAAGTTTTCTGACATAATAGTTTTTGAAGTATTCTGTCTTCAAATGAAGTCTGTCTTGTAGTGACTCACAAGACAAGTAAATAAGCAACAGTTTCATTTTATTATTATTTCTGGTCAGGGTGAAATCCATCCAAGGTTTCCCAAAAGGAATCAATAATTTTCTTAGCCTTCCACACAGCAGGAATGAGAAATACCAATCTTTCCAGATTTCTGTTCTTATGATGGGAAAAAGTTTAGTAAAGCATTCTGAAAAGAAAAGGAAAAAAAAAAAAGAATGGAAACATTTGAATGCAAAGGGTAGCAAAAATATTTAACCTGGCAGGAGAAAAGTCAACAAATGTTTCCCAAGCCATTTTTTGTTGCCTTTCTATTTCCACAGAGTTTCTGTTTTTTGTTCTATAACCTTTGCAGTTTCACCTCTGCAATTTTTCACAGCAGAAAAGTATCAGCACATTTGGGGGACATTCTTATTGTTTAGGAAAATCTGCATCTGTGCTATCATTTAAATACTGCTTTGTAGAATTAAGGAAAAAAGTTGGACATGAAATAGTTCAATAACACTTTTGCAATGCCTGACATGGCTCTTAATGTTGCCTGAGGTAAAATTTATCCTAATTTGTGGGTTGGCCAGCTGTAATTTTGAGGCTAGAAAAAGTGTAGCTCTTGGTTTTTTTACCCCATGACCAGCTGGCTGGCAGGCAGCAAACAGAGCTGTTATCTCCCTGCTATAGTAAGGAAAAAAGGAAAGGGAAAGGGAGAAGGGAGGATGTTGACAAGTGGTAGATTAATTCAAGAGCATCACCAGTAAGATCTGTGTGCTTCTCATTCATGACCTATTCAGGGGAAGCAATAGGCACTGGGGGACGATGACACATATAAATGATTCATATTTGATGGGATAAGGTAGTTCTCAACATACAACCACAATTGAGAGCAGAATTTCCATTGCAAAGCAAGGTGGTTGTTAAGGGCCTGGTGGCTCAGCAGACTAAAAGCATTGTGATTAACACCAGCTGTCTGCAATTACTGTAAGTTCAAATCTCGCCAAGGCTCAAGGTTGACTCAGCCTTCCATCCTTTCTAAGGTAGGTAAAATGAGGACCCAGTTTGTGGGGGCAATAAGCTGACTATAAATATACAGAAGTATGAAGGCTATTGCTTAACGCATTGTAAGCTGCCCTGAGTCCCGGAGAAGGGCGGCATATAAATCAAATTAAAAAAAAAAAAGTGAGTCACTGCAGTTGTAATGTGAATCAAGCAGTCATTCAGTGTATCTGGCCTCTCCCATTGACATTTGCAACTTTGGAAAGTTGCAAATGGCAATCCGATGACAATGGGATACTGCAACTAGTATAAATACATTGCCAAGCACCCAAATTTTGATCATGTGTCTGGGGATGCTGCAACGATCGTAAGTGCAAGGACTGGTCATAAGTCACTTTTTTCAGTGTTGTTGCAGCTTTGAGTAGTTGCAACAACGAATGGCTGTAAGTGGTGCACCCCCTGTATTGTATGGGAGGGAATAGGAACAATATTTATCTCAGAATCAAGACTGCACTGCATCTTCCAATGATGTTAGGTACATGTCCAAAGTCACATTTCAAAAAGATGGGAGCAAGATCAGGGGAAAAAATGAAATGTTGGATTGATGTCATTTATAATAACATGAGTTAAAAATATAGCTGTTTGATATAATTATTTTTCAGACACATTTTCAATGTCACACTTTTCCCCATATCACATTCATAACAAAAGCTCAGTAGCAAATTTTGGTGGTATCCATATGAGGCTTTTGGGGGGGGGGTGTCCTTGTGCAGCAAACTCTCTAGTGAAACAGGGGAAATGTAGGCTGTGAGTAGTATATCAATCTACTGCATAAACATTACATTAACAATATCTTTAAAAATCTGTATTAACATTGTACCATTTGGAAGAAAATATGTTGCATCTTTTTACGGTTGAGTTTTGGATCAGTAACAAGGTAGTGATTTTTGTTTAAAAATCAAGCTATTTTTTTTTTAAATAAAAAGATGAATTCTAAAGTAAAATTAAATTATATGCCTATTTTCTATTTCTGCTTTCCTAAGTAGCTATAGAGTCACATGGACTCCCACAAAAAAAAAATCTAACTATTAATTCCTACTTTTAGATAATTCACCCAACTGGCTTTTGCTGTCTCAAGGACTAGAAACATTTCTTTAAAAGACAACTGGTAGTTTTTAGGATTCCGAGCCCAGCTGTGGTGTGGACAAACTGGCTTCATGGAACACAAATTCTTCAGGTAACGTTAATGTTCCTAAATTGTCTATATTCTTTTGAACTGGATGACACTTTCCACAAACACATCCATGTAGCTGCCTGGAGTCAGGTTTAATTCAAAGATACCTTTATCTTTAACTTAGGTTTAGCCTGACATGGCGTGTCTGCCCCCTGTTGGACTTCTTGGGAAGAAGCTGCCCCAAATAGTTTCAAAACAACATCCGCATGAACGGTGGTTTCTTCAAGTCATTCAACAGAGAATTAAAAAAATCACCCACACAAATGCAGCTGTTAAAAAGGAAGATCAGCTAAGAGGATTTGGTTCTTATGAGCACATGAGTCAGGTACACTAGCCAGGTTGTGCATCATAGTTTAGTGAACAAAGCACAATTCTTCAGTTCCCACAACACATTAAGGTAAAATGAATGAAAACAGCATTATGGCTTTGTTTAAGGTTGCCCTACTTTTTCTAATCAGGAGCTGAACTCTTCCAGGTCATGGGATCTTCTGGAGATGCTGTGGCTTTCCAGATATTGCTATATGATAATTCCTATTACTGAGAATTCATGCTAATTGGGGTTGATGGATCTTGAGGTCCAATGCTAAACAAGGCTGTGTTCTACAGCTGACCTAAGTCTACATTTTTAACAAAGTCTTCTCAAATCTTGGCTAGAAGAGAAACACTCAAAGGATCCTCAACCGTGCCACTCACCCAGCCTCCCTGCTGTTCGATCCAGAGAGCCAGCCGATCCCTTAAAAAGTTCATGGCCCAGTCCATCACATCCCTGAAGAAACTGGAGGCAGACTATGCGTGTAGAAAAGAAGAAAGACCAAACATTATTCAAAACAGAACCTAAAATGTGTAAGCTTTGGCGATCTTTTTTAGTCAAAATATTGAGGAGAGAGAAGGTGGGAAACAAGGGCTAGAAAAATCAGATTAGGAGTTTCTTGGCTATGAATTAAACCTACTTGTCAAAAATTCAACAGAATGTGTTCCAAGATTTGTAAATTCACTAGCTCATTCCAACCTGGTGATCAGTAAATTAGGACTTCTTAATTTGCAGTAACCATGGACATTTCAGACAAAGGAGGCAACTGTATGCATTTATTAATTCAAAAGTAAATCAAGTGTCAGATTTATTCTGAGATAAGTGTGCAAAGGGACATAATTTTTCCCAATCAGTTTCTAGGGATGTTAATCTGTGAAAAGACACATTGAGCTAAAGAAGAACAAATGCTCTTCTAGCCACTTAAAAAGAGAGAGGTCAACCATGTTTTAAATCTGCTTCTAGCACTGAGTTGAGTGCATGACTTCTTTCTGAAAAAAATGCCACGGTCAATTCTGTGGTTGAAAAGCTAGGATGGCATGGCATGTGACTTAAAAGAAACAGAAGAATAATTACTTAATGATTTAGGGGCCTATTTCTTTTCTAAATAGGTGGGGAAAAAGTGAAGGATAAATGGGATGAGTGAAGACAGAGGCGAATTGGACCTGGAAGATTTGAAGAACACAATCGATAAGACAAAACAGGCAGGCACCTTAAATCTTGCAGAGCTTTCAAACATACAAAGTATCCCAGGCAAAACAAAAACAAAAAGACTCAAGTATCTTTTCTGTTTGTTTTTCCTTTAAAATAGGTATACAATGGCTTGAGCAGAATAACAGTCAATGTGAATAGGACAGTCAATGTGGATAGAACAGTCAATGTGGATAGAAAGACTACCCTTTTCCCCGTATTCTTTCTTTTTAACTCTCCATTGGCTTGTTGATATAAAAGAAATATACAGAGTCATTTGGCATTACGTTGAAGGGAAAATGACATCTTGTGTGTCATCCAACATATCAAAACAGAAGGAGCTTTAAATATCATGACGGAAGCCTACAATTGCATCATTTGCATGGTGATGACTTACATGTCATCATTTTGACATCACGTCTAGTAATGAATGGATCCAAGTGTACAGAGCCGTCCCGTCTACCATTTTCTCTGGAAAACTAATGGTTCCTTCATTAAAAATTAGCCAGTAATCTGGATTTGGCTAGCACACCATGCCATGAATAAGGTGAACTAGCCAAAGCCAAACCATAGCTTTGGCTAGTTGTTTACATGGTAAACAACATATCTGACCAAGAGATAATAAGCAAAAACTATACTATCTCTTAGTGTGACGTGCAAGTAAGATGAGAAGGACCCAATAAAGATTACCAATAAGGAGAGATGGACTATTTTAATTAACAGATGCTTCATCCTTATAAATCTTCTCTTTCAGGCAAGGGAGAGTAATTTATGGCAAAAAGGCCTCATGTGTCTGTCAAGTTGCTTTTCTGTAGCACAGTGAGTTCCCCTCACCATGTCTGCTAAAAAGCTACATCAAACTTATCATTCCGGGGCAGAAAAAAAATACATAATAATGCTGTTTCCTTAAAATGAGCACTTAAAATACAAAAATAACTTCCAATTTTCCTTTCTCCCAATCCTGCCACCTGCATCCATGTGATAAACCTCTCTCCCTTTGTGACATTCAGCTCACTTAAGAGTTTTAAGCAACTTTGCCTTACGCTGGCACTGGATGTATGGGTCTTACTACAACCCCACTGATTTCAGCCGATATTGCTTTTCTTCTCTACACTTTGAGGATGTTGAGATAACAAACATTATGCCTTCAGATTTCTACCTGTCTGCCAACTTCAAATGTAAAGTAGAAGAAGACAACGATCCGTCCCCAGTTGACTCCAGTAGCAAACATCTCCTCTGATACTTCAGCCAGACCGTGGAGTGGATTTTCACTGATTACGCTTTCTGCCATTCTGCAATGGGAAAAGGACATCTCAGAGAAGTACAGAAGTCCTCAATTTACCACCACAATTGAGCCCAGAATTTATGTTGCTAAGTGAGAAATTTGTGAAGTGACTTTTGCCTCATTTTATGACTTTTCTTGCCACATTTGTTAAGTGAACCGCGGCAGTTGTTAAATTACTAACACCTTTCACCAGAAGTAGCTGGTGCATCTTATATCAGAACTGGTAGACTGTCCACTATATTCCATACAATAGATTATTTTTTCTTCTTATTAGGAACTGTATCATCAAACAAAGGGATGCAGTGGCTCAGTGGCTAAGACGCTGAGCTTGTCAATCGAAAGGTCGGCAGTTCAGCAGTTCAAATCCCTAGTACCGCATAACAGCGTGAATTCCTGTTACTTGTTCCAGCTTCTGCCAATTTAGCATTTCGAAAGCACGTAAGAAATGCAAGTAAAAAAATAGGGATCACATTTGGTGGGAAGGTAACAGCGTTCCGTGCGCCTTTGGTGTTTAGTCATGCTGGCCACATGACCACAGAGACATCTTTGGACAGTGCTGGCTCTTCGGCTTTGAAACGGAGATGAGCACCGTCACCTAGTCAGGAACGACTAACATATATGTGCGAGGGGAACCTTTACCTTTACCTTTATCATCAAACACAGCTGAAAATGCAGTCATGTAATAGACCGGATATTATTCATCTGTGTTAATAATCCAGAATATACTTTCTCAGGCAAGAGCTGTAACGAACATCATCTGAGGAACCATCTCACTCGAATAAGATTGGCTGTCCCACTCACTCCAGCAGAAGGATCCCGTTGGCCAAGGAATGTTGGCAGTCAGGGTCCAGAAAAACCTTTTGTGCTGTTACTCCTGTGGAACAATGTGTCCCTTGGGGTAAGATCTATCCCTAACCTCTTGGCCTTCCAAAAGGGCCTGAAAACCTGGCTCTGCCAATTGGTCTTGGAGCCCTGATGGCGGCATCCCACATTGGAAGTGGTTACTAGAATCATAGGGCTGGAAGGACCATAGAGATCTTTTCATCCAACACTCTGCCCAAAGCAGCAGTCCTTATTCCATCCCAAATGATTGCCCAATCTTTTCTTGAAAACCACCAGCGATGGTGGGAGTGATGGGAGTTCCCACAACTCTAGGAGGCAAGTTTTTTAATTAATTGTTCTCACTTTCAGGAAGTTTTTCTTTAGCTCCAGGTTGGATCACCCTCTGACTACCGTGTTTCCCCGAAAATAAGACCCTGTCTTATATTTTTTCGAACCTCAAAATAAGTACTTGGCCTTATTTTTAGGGGGGGGTCTTATTATTTGGGGCACATGGAGCTAGATGGGGATCCTCTTGCCGTCTTACCTGATTTCCAGCTCTGTGTGTAAATATTTTTGGGGAGGGCTTATTTTGGGGGGGGAGGCTTATTTTAATGCATGCGCTCAAACCCTGATTGGGCTTATTATCAGGGGATGTCTTATTTTCAGGGAAACAGGGTAGTTGCTTCTTATCTTGTCCTCAGGTGCTATGGAAAAGAAATCAACCCCCTTTTTCATTTGAGAGCCCATCATGTATTTGAAGACAGCTATCATGTTATCCCTAAACCTTCTCTCCGTTAGGCTAAACATACCTAGTTTGTTTAGCCATTTATTGTACGGTTTAACCCCCAGCCCCCTTATCATCTTTATTACTCTTCTTTATGATGCTCAGAGTCCCTCAGTAGTGACATGGAAGCATATAAATTTAATAAACAACAAACAAACAAACAAACAAATGCAACCAATCAGAGATCCATTGGAAATTGGCCTTCTTCCCAAAGGGGAAATCAAAGTGTCCCACAGATGTGGGCTGGATCCAATTGGTTTTCTATCCCTACCTGGTGATATCTGCATTACTTCTGAGTTCCTGTAATATGCGGAACATGTGCTCTTGCAATGAATACACCTGGGCAGCATCTGGCTCATCTCCCCCATTTGCTTGTTCCCCTGGCAAGCGGTCTCTGCCAAACTGCTCCAAGGGGGCCGGGTGGGGAGAGCAAGCTGCCAATCGCTGCCAGAGAGTCTTGATGAATCTGCCAGAGAAAAAGGCATGAATAGATGTGGCGTTTGAGCCTGACACTTGAAGAAGGTGGAGTTAGCACTTTCCTAAGCATACCATCACTGGGTTCTGGATGGGAGATTCAACGTCACGGGCAGAGATGCTAAAAAGGAACAGTGAAAAGACTCCTTAAAAACCACAGAGCAGCCTTACTGACAAAGTGATGCTCCTGAATGAGTTCATTTGATTTTTTTTTAATCTTCCCTTTATTACTTTATAAGTGACTCAAGGTGGTGAAGATACACAAGACTCCTTCCTTCTCTTTTCCCCACAACAACAACCCTGTGAGGACAGTTCTCTGAAACATTCCCTCCCCATCAACTTGCCCTGCAGCTGGACCTTCTGGGAGGCCCAAATTCAGCACATCTGGACTCTGCTCTATTCAATTAACAGAGAAAGCTTGGAGAGCATTCATTTATGCTCAAAATGTACTCATCATATCACTTGTAGGGTCATATGGGAGCTGCTTGAGTTGGTTATGAGATGGGGGGCTACATAAACATTATAAACAAACAAACAAATAAATAAATAAATTCTTGCCTACCCCCACAGCAAGGCTTTCCCAATTCGAAGGATGCATGAGATGCTGTCAGAAAGTCCTCGGGAGAAAGAGAGAAAATATTTCAGTTGTTTTACCTTCCATTTGCATCGGATTGATCTCTAATTCATTCTCCTGCAAACTCGCTAAATCGGCTTCCGGTTTCCTGAGCATTTAAGGGAAATAGAAAGCAAGTTCCCTCTGGGGAAGACTTCTTCCTAGGCTGGTGAATCAGACCACCCATATTAAGAAATATCTTATTGGGGAAGAGATGGGTTGGGCTCACCCAGTAGGGAAATATAAAATTTGTTATTACCGGTTCTGTGGGCGTGATTTGGTGGGGGGAATGTGATTGGGTGGCCATGGCAAACTTTTTTTTTTAACTTTTAAAAGCATTTTTCCTACAACCTCTTCAGCCAAAGAGGTCGTTAAAAAAAATGCTTTTAAAAGCCTCTGACGATCAGGCAATTCAGCTGGGATCGTCAGAGCCTTTTAAAAGAATTTTTTCTACAGCCTCTTTGGCCGAAGAAGTTGTAGAAAAAATGCTTTTAAAAGGCTCTGACGATCCCAGCTGAGCCGCACAGAGGCTTTTTTTTTTTTTTTACTTTTAAAAGCATTTTTCCGGCTAAAGAGGTTATAGAAAAAATGCTTTTAAAAGTAAAAAGTAAAAAAAAAAAGCCTCCGATGATTGTGCAGCTCAGCTGGGCATGGTGGGGGGGGGGGAGGGATTTTTGCTACCAGTTCTCCAAACCACTCGCCGCCATCGCTACTGGATCGGGCGATCCGGTCCGAACCGGGAGCATTTTACCCCTGGGCTCACCCATCAAGACTAAGTCAGCCTCAGATTCCCTTTTGTGGCCCCTAGAGGCTCTTCTGATCATGAATATAGAAAATCTATGGCATGATTTCTTGTCATTCAGGTGAGAAACAGATGCAGAACTTCAGGATAAGTCCTGCAATAAATATACCGTATCATCATTTAAAAACAACAAAGAAAATTCCTTGGGAAAAGTAACCACTGCATCTACTCCACTATGCCTTACTCAAAAGCTAGGAACAGTTCCTTGTCTACTAGAAGGTAGAGGCTCATCCCAGATTAACCCATAAAATGGATGATTTATTGGCTTGGCATGTTGTAGGAACTCAGTCATAATAGAGCAAGCTATCCATAATTCAGTCTCATGCGCAAATGCAGCTTATAAAACTAATGTTTTAATATACAGTATATGTCATAGTTATTCTTTTGAATAATATCTTATTTAGAGTAAGCTAAAAATTAAAACAGGTAGCTGCAGACTCCAGTGTTTTGCCTCTCATTGGCAATGTTAGTGAAAAGCAGGAACAAATATTCCTTTGGGCAAAGTTCTATCCATATATGATGGCAGATTGGCTCTTTTTCATATTTTTCTAAGTGTGTCTATATATGAAAACAACAAACACACATAAGGTTAACACTTAGGAAAGGAATTTAGTATATACAGGTAGTCCTTGACTTAAGATCACAAAATTCTGGGACCAGAATTTCTATTGCTAAGCAAGGCAGATGTTAAGTGACTCATGCTCAATTTTATGATCTTTTTGCCATAGTTGTTAAGTGAATCACTGCAGTTAAGTCCAGTTAAGTTGTTAAGTGAATCCACCTTCTCCCATTGATTTTGTGTATCAGAATCTGGCTGGGAAAGTTAGAATCATAGAATCATAGAGCTGGAAGGGACTTCGGAGGTCTTCTAGTCTAACCCTAGGAGTGTTATACCATCCCAGTCAAATGATTGTCCAATCTGTTTTTGAAAATAGCAACGCTAAAGGTGATCACACAACCCTGGGATGCTGTAACCATCATAAATAGATGTTGATTGCCAAGTGCCCAAATTTTGATTGCGTGACAGTGGGGATGCTGCAATGGTCAAAAGTGCGAGCACCGGTGGCAAGTCACTTTTTTCAGTGCTGTTCTAATTTTGAATGGTCATAAATATATGGTTGTAAATTGAGGACTCCCTGCAGAATAGCTGGAAATCCTGTCACTTGTGCCCTGACATCCCTGAACAATCTCAAGCTTCCGTTGCACCAGAAGCAGGGAAAAACGTTTCACAGATGCAGAGATCTGTCTCTTAAGAGAAACTTCCCAAATACTAATTTGATTGGGCATAGCTGGTTACATGAACATAGCAATTTAAGCTGTCTTAGTCCAAATTCAGGGGTTAGCTGTTGTATGGATTCAGCCAAGAAATTATTTAGTCCCTATTTTAAGGAACTACAAGGGCATTTGAACTGCTTGATTAAAGAACCTGCGTAAGGAGTCTTCTCTCTTTAAATAATGTATGGATTACACATTTAACTTGCTGAACTGTTCACATACCTTGTTTAAAATACAGGTAGTCCTCAACTTACGACCACAATTGCACCCAGAATTTCTGTTTTAAGTGACACATTTGTTAAGTGAGGTTTGCCCCAATTTATGACCTTTCCACAGTTGTTAAGTGAATCACTGCAGTTAAGTTAGTAACATGGTTGTGGAGTGAATCTGGCCTCCCCGTTGATTTTGCTTGTCAAAAAGTTGCAAAAGGTGATCGCATGATCTCAGGACAGAGCAATGGTCATGATCCAGTTGCCAATCATCTGAATTTTGATCACATGATTTTATTTTTATTTATTTTATTTATTTATTTTGTCAAGCATATATAAGATAACAGGCAAAAATATAAGCATAATTTGAATACATTGAAAAGAGTAAGTAAAAAGGAATATTAGGACAGGGACAGTAGGCACTCTGGTGCACTTATGCACGCCCCTTACAGACCTCTTAGGAATGGGGTGAGGTCAACAGGAGACAGTCTAAGGTTAAAGTTTTGGGGGTTAAAGTCATGGGGAGGCTTCAAATGTCATAAGTGTGAAAAAGGGTCATAACAGTCACTTTTTTTCCCAGTGTTGTTGTAACTTTTAACGGTCACTAAATGAACTGTTGTAAGTTGAGGTCTACCTGTACATCTTGTTTTAGAAGCTTGTTCCATTCCCCCGTGGAATCCTATAGCCCGGGATTATGCATACTCGCTGTACACGCTGACCGTGGTTTCTCGATGCGTAGATCCCTGGTTAAATTAACTATTTTTCTCAATTTATCCGAGTGCAGCACCGTAAACTCTGAAGCAGCGGCATGGACCGCCTATGCTCGAACCCGCCTCTGCCTGTACCGAGGGGTGAGGCTGGCTGAAACAGCCCCGGAATCCGAAACTTCAAGTCCTTCCTTCACTCCCTCCCATTCTCCGCTGGGGGCATAAATCAGCCGCTCTTTTGCACAACTTTCTTACTCGATTCCCCGGGAATTGCAACTGAGGCCATCGGCCGGTTCCTCCCGCTTCCCTCAGCAGCCATGTCGAAATCCAGACGATGACGATCGGCCCCCTTTGCAGAGTAACTTCCTCTGCCGGTGAAAATGAAAGAGGGAGCCAACTAAAGGCGTTCCTGAGGGGATTTCCACTCCATTCCCGAAATGTGGAAGAATTGCAAAAAGTCGGGTGCAGTTCTTAACCTAAGTGCACTCTTGCACTTAACTTCTGAGGAGGCACGAAGTCTGCACCATGAACCTTGGATCACACGTTGCTTAACCCATCATAGGCTTAATCGTGGTTTGTGTATGCTACAGTTGTCATTAAGTGCCCTCCAAAATCCACAATGAGAAAGGGGTACTTTATGGCAGGGGTCTCCAACCTTGGCAACTTTTAAGACTTGTGGACTTCAACTCCCAGAATTCCTCAGCCAGCAAAGTTGCCAAAGTTGGAGACCCCTGCTTTATGGCAATGCTTCTCAAGCTTGGCAATTTTAAGAGGTGTGGACTACGACTCCCATAATTCCTCTCCTGGCTGAGGAATTCTGGGAGTTGAAGTCCCCTCCTTTTCAAGTTGCTGAGATTGAGATACACTCCTTTATGGCAAACTGAAGTTTGTGAACTCGGACCAAGAACAATTCTATGCACCAGTTCTAATTGTAATATATCGTTAATGGGCATTCTTAACATGCCCAAATAGAATGCCCACTATTTTCCCCACTTATGCTAGATACAGTTGTGTATGAGGCCAGACATGGGTGACTGAAGACAGGTGGGTTTGACTGATATCAGCAAAGTTTGGAAGACATTATCAAGCAGGGAGCTGTTGAATATTTAGAAAAGAAAGTGTTTTAAAGCTGTATAAAGGAATTTCATAGGTTTGTTGAAGTAAATGTAAAGAGGATCCTTTTTTATCATCTACGATGAATTTGTGGCAAAGCAAAGAAACATTGGAACCAGATCTTTATTTTAATTCAGAGGATTCTTAATATAAAACTGAAACCAGATGTCTTTCTTTCAGGTTTGTTGGATAAAAAACTTGAAAGAAAATTTGGAATTTTGTTACTATATATGTAGACAGCTGCAATAATGTTATATGCGCAAAGATGGATAGACACATCGACTCCTGCATGGAAGAATGGATGGTAAAGGCAATAGAGTTGGCGAAGATGGCAAAACTGTTTAATTAAAGAGAAGAATTTATCTATTCGAAACTACTTCTGAACTCCAAATTTGGGGGGCGGGGAATGAAAAATTGACTTTAGGTTTGTATTGGATTTCACTTTGTTACAGAAATGGTTTTAATTAAGCAGAAATTAGAAGCAAACAGTTGAAGTTATAATTTTTCCTGTAAATGTACTCTATCGCTCTGAAAAAAGTTAGAAGTCACTGTTTTCATAAAAATTAGAAAATAATGCATTGTCTGATAATGTATACTGTAAAGCAAATGAACCCAATGCTCTTTTTTGCTAAAATGGTCATAAAACACTTTTTTCAGTGCTGTTGTAACTTTGAATGGTCATTAAATGAACTATTGAAAATCGAGGACTACCTGTACACTCTACCTTGATTTCTTGATGCTCTGGTAGAAAAAAATAGCTGTGTTATTCTACAATTAGATGGATACTGTATAGAGTTGGTTAACAATTGTACTCAACAATCCATTAATGGCTCTGTCAAATTGATGATTAATCATTGAGTGGAGTACTTTCTTGCTAGATCTATGTTGTGCAAAATAATTATAAATAATCTGGCTGAGGAATTAGAAAATAGTTATCAAATCTGTGGGCTAATGGCTACTGCCTGAAAAACAGGTGGCAGCTCCAGTTGGGGAACATTTCCTCAGCTCCAGATGATGCATGGTATGGTCCTTTCTAAACCTGGTAGGTGGGCTAGATGATCTCTAGACTTGTCTACTGCAATACATTCCACAAAACTCTTTTAACAGTGTGTGCAGGTAGGAAGAAAAGTTTCCAACTCCATCTCCTTGAATACAGGTTCTTCACAGGTCTGTGTCTTGAGTTTGCTACTATTCACCTTGATGACCCACGACAGCTGTGTCAAATCGGCTACAAATCATATTGTGAAGTACGTGGATGACACAGCAGTGATGGGTCTTATCCGGGACGACAATGAAGATGCTTATAAGGAAGAGGTGAATGATCTGGTGGACTGGTGTAATAAAAGTAACCTGATTCTAAATGTTTTAATAAAACAAAGGAGATCATTGTAGATTTTACAAAGAGCTGGCATAGTCATATTCCACTCAGTATCAAAGATGCAGATTGAGAGGTGGCCAACATATTAAGTATCTGGGGGTACAGATAACTAACAATCTGAACTGGTCTCTCCACATGTCATCCTTAGTGAAGTGTGCAAAGATCTGCATTTCCTGCGTTGGATGAAGAGAGCACATCTTTCTCCTTCGGTCGTGGCCACATTTTACAGAGGCATGATTGAAACTGCATCACTGTTTGGTTTGGTGGCAGCAGTGCCTCAGATAGAAAGTCCAAACAGAGAGTGGTAAGGACAGCCAAGATGATTATAGGAAGCTTGTTTCCTGTCATTTAAGATACTGCTGATAAGCGCTGTGTCTATCAAAGCATGGTTAGAGACTCCACACACCCAATTCATGGCTTGTTTCTGTTGCTCCCCTTTGGGAGGAGGTTTTGAAATATTCCTAGCAGGACTACCATTCTGTAACAGCTTTATTCCCTATGCCATCCATATTGTAAACTTGCAAGATTCATTTTTCTCACCATGTACATATATATACATACATATGTATATGTACATGGCGTATACATGTATATTTGTATACATGTATGCACCATGTACAAATATACATGTATATTTGTATATACACATGGTGTATACATGTATATTTCTCACCATGTACATATACATACGAACTAGACTGTGTTGTTTCTGTGTCAAAAGCTTTTATGAAGTGTGATTTTAACAATACCGCTGTCACTAGTGAAGGGGTATCAAGACGAACGAATTATTATGGATTTTATGATGTATTATTTTTTTGAATTTTTATTTTGTGAGTTGCTGGGAGTTTTTGGGAGGCCAGCATTATATATACCTAAACACTTAAACAAATGCAGGCAATCCTCAACTTACAATCATTTGTTTAGTGACCACTTGAAGTTACAATGTATTTATGACGGTTACAGTATCCTAGGTCATGTAATCTTTTGCAACTTTTCCAGCCGGCTTCCAAGCCAATTCAAATCTGGCTCAGGGGAAGCCAGATTTGCTTAACAACCATGATTCACTTAACAGCAATGATTCATTTAACTGTGGCAAAAAAGTTGTAAAATTGGATGCAACTCGCTTAACCTCCTTGTTTAGCAATGGCAATTCTGGTCTCAGTTATGGTCATATGTTGAGGACTACTGTATAGTGTATGTCCAGGAACTGTGATTAGCTAACCATGTTTTACAGCTTAGTGCAGTGTTTCTCAACCTCAGCCACTTTTAAGATGGAATAGAATAGAGAATAGAAAAGAATAACAGTTGGAAGGGACCTTAAAGGTCTTCTAGTCCAATCCTCTGCTTAGGCAGGAAACCCTATACCATTTCAGACAAAAATGGTTGTCCAACATCTTCTTAAAAACTCCCAGTGTTGGAGCATTCATAACTTCTGGAGGCTAGTTGTTCCACTGATTGTTCTGTCAGGAAATTTCTCCTTAGTTCTAGGTTGCTTCTCTCCTTGATTAGTTTCCATCCATTGCTTCTCAACCTGCCTTCACATGCTTTGGAGAATAACTTGACTCCCTCTTCTTTGTGGAAACCCGAGATATTAGAACACTGCTACCACGTCACCCTTAGTCCTTCTTTTCATTAAATTAGACATACACAATTCCAGCAACCATTCTTTATATGTTTTAGCCTCCAGTCCCTTAATCATCTTTGTTGCTCTTCTCTGCCCTCTTTCTAGAGTCTCCACATCTTTTTTACATCGTGGCAACCAAAACTGGATGCAGTATTCTTTTCTATTTTCTATTCCAAGTGTGGTCTTACCAAGGTGTTATAAAGTGGTATTTATATATTTCAATTCCCAAAATCCCCCAGTCAGCAGTGCTTTACTGAATACACCAATATTGGATGTGTAGCCTCTCTTGGTGAACATAAGGAAGGTATGGATGAGACTCACTGGGTATTTCTTCCAACTAGCTTTGCAACAATAGACCTAGAGACGTACAGTATAACTAAGTTTTTAGTCCTAAAAAACTGACGTACATGATGTGCTGAACAACATTTACATCACTGAAGACACAAAAATCACATTTTCTGAAATCTACTGAAGTGATGTTATCAGTTGTAGTTTCTTAGGCCATCATTTCTATACAGACAACTCTGGAACATGCATGTTAGATTTTTTTTTTTCATTTTTAATTTCCACACTAACAAAAAAAAATCCATTGTAACTTCAATTGACAGATTAGAGATGAATCAAACATTTTTTAAAAAAATTATAAAATGGTAAGGTAGTTTTCAAAAAAACTTTTTTGTTAAAAAAAGTGTAGAAACTATTGCCTAAGTAAGGGAAGGGTCAATTGCATAGAAAATACAGACATGAATAAACTTGAACAGTAGAACAGCTAACCTGGGTGCATGTTAACGTTGGCTTTACAATCAGATGTGACTGGATTCCACCCTTAAGAGGCACAGCTACTCCCATGTCAGCCACTGTGTCTCAGGCCTGCAGACCTCTTGCGGTTTATGTCAAACCCCAGAAATATGCATAATTCAAGAATTTAATTCCTGATTAAAAACATGACAGTTTGTTAGGATATATGATTAAGCAGGCAAAAATACCAGACTGAGGCCAGCTAAGAGAATAATATTCTGTCTAAATTGCCCACACGGCTGACAGTTTCAAATATTGTTTCCTTCCTTCATTGCCTTCTGAACAAATAAATGATCTGAATCCGATGGAAAGGATGAAAAACTTAAGCTGGCTGAGCAACCATCAACACTACCTCTGGCTAACCTTAGAGCTTTGGAACAGGAACTTTTGGCCAAGACTTACTCTTCATCTCAGCAGTCTATTGATGTAGCACAGGGGCCCTGTGCTGAGTTGAGGGGATATGGAGCAGGAGGGCGTCCTATGAACAGTTCCTCTGGAACTTGCCCATCCATGAAGACTGTTGTCTAAGAAAGGTGGACGCCCAGAGGCAATCCACCCAGGATTATTGGTAGCTGCTACTTGCTTCATATTGGCTACTTGCCCATGTGCAAGATGCGTGTATTTTTACCACTGGGTGGCAAAAGAAAAATTGAACATGCTGATGCAATGACAAGGGCCCCCCATATATTTGGGGAAGGGAAGCATGATACAAAATAAGCATCTGAACAAAAACAAAGCATCATCCATATGAAGGTACAAATCCAGGGTGACACAGCACAGATTTAGGCATAACTGAACCTCAATTGACAATTAATAGCCAACTGGCCAAAATTCCCACAGCATTGTTGCTGCTAATCCCAAACTAATGCCATAAAATACAGCCATGCTATCTATAAGCCACACCTCCTCAAAGAGCCAGAGATCTTAAAAGAAAAAAACCCTCACAGCTTGAAATATCAAAGCACTACAAAAAGTAAGCCAAAGATCTAGATAAACCCAATCCAGCCCACCCCTAGTCCAGTAAATTCACACTCCTGGACTCTTTTACTTCACAATTCCAAAATTATTATATTATGAAAATCCACAGCACCCCAAAATACTTTAAAGAATTACAACAGAAGCCTCAGCGTTCACAAACCCATGTTTTTCTATGTATTGTTCTGCTTCTGGCCCTTCTGAGAAAAATGGAATTTGTCCAGTCTACCTAAACCCAACCCTTAATGGCAATTCATTCCCTCCCTAACCCAACCCCCTGAGGTAACAAAATCCCTCCCCAATATAATTATTCAAGTACAATTAATTCATATTGACCCACTCCTGCCTCCACTGCATTCATTGCCCCTAAACCTTATCTCTCATTTCATTTCTCCAGCCGCAACTTGTAGCATCCAGCTGAACCAATGTGCTTGGATGAATAGAAGGGTCATTCGCTGGCTAAATCTACAAAAGATAACTAAATAGATCTCAGATGTTAGCCTAGCTTGATGCGCTGCCATTATACTGTATAAACTGAGCACAACAACAGAGAGAAGAATGTACAACTGTATCAGGAAGTCTGACAGGGATACCCCACTTAGAATTGGCAAGAGGATGGAGAAAAACCAGGTTTCTAGAACTGGATAACCACCTCCTTAAAAATCCTCTACCACATTTGCAACAACCATTTCTTTGCAACTAAGAATGATCTGGAAGAATTCCCTGACTCCTACTTGAGGGTTGCCACCTATCAATGTCTGACAGATTTGGCGGTCCTAGCACTATCATATGATAGCTTATGTTGGCTTTGTTCACAAAACATGCTGAAAAGTAAGCCACAAGTGGCAGTGGGGGAGGGGGGCAGTTTAAACCCCATGTGCCAGCTTTTTTAAAAAAAAAAAAAAACAAACCAAAAAAAACACCCTCAGATCTCTGATGGATGGAACCATCTGGAAGTTCTCAATGGTTATACCTTGGCTTTCTTTGACCAGGAAGTCCACGATTTGAAAGTACAGCACCAGACAATTTATGGTGAGTGAAGAACATAGTGAGCTGGTTTTTTTTTTAGGGGGTGCAAATTGGCACACGTGCTCCCTCACTAGCAGAGATTACTTGCTCAGGGCATCATACAAACAGGGCTAGGACTAAGTTGTGCGAAAGACACCAATAGTCTAAGGCCGAGGTGGGGAATTATGGCTCCTTTATGACTTGTGGATTTTAACAATCAGAATTCTGGAGTCCACCAGTCATAAAAATGCCATAGTTCCCCATCACTGGTCTAACCCAATGTAGGATACCAGAGCTAGGTATGCTATCTTTCATTCCTGAAAGCTAAAACAACAAAGATGTCGTGACAGCAACAGGGAAAACTGATGACCAAGTCACCGAATAAACAATAGAACTGGGATTGCTGATTATTATTATATATTTTTTTTGGCGTTTCTCACTTCGCTTGATACACCACAACAATTTCAGTACCCTAACTCTTGGTCAAATAGTTCAACAATATATTATTTGGCCCACCCACACCCCTGGTTCAATATAGCTTGAAAAGATTCATTTGGAAGGCAAACATTGTACAGAAGTGTAAAGACACATTTTGATTATCCATTGATCGACTGGAAGATAAAAGTGAGTGTAAACACTTTTGGGAAAAGTTCAAAGCAGGGGTGGGAATATGTGGCCTCCTCATTAGAGGCTGCTGAAGCACAATTTCCCAACAACACCCATGGAGGCTGAGGCAGTTGGGATTTTTAATTCAGCAGCATCTTGAGCAGTGTTTCTCAACTGTGGCAACTTGAAGAAGTGTAGACTTCAATTCCCAGAATTCTGGTTGGGGAATTCTGGAAGCTGAAGTCCACATGTCTTTAAATTGCCGAGATTGAGAAACATTGACCTGGAGTCCCACAGTTGTCCCATCGTTGGGCAAACTATGACATGGATGACTGAGACTCTCCATAGGCATTTAACCATTGATCTGGAGGATCACGTTTCTATTCCTGATCTGAGAATGATAAATATTTCCTGCACATCAATAAATATCAACATGAAATCCATAATTCAAGATGGATATCAATATGTGGGCATACTTTGTGGGCATATATGCAGACACTCCATCTTTTGCACATAGATCTGCAGTCACAATGTTTATCATTGCACACATGAAAATAAAGAAGTAATGTAGCCAAAAAAGCAAACAACCCCACAATAGTCACATGCAGCCAAATGTCTCAACCGTTATCACAGCTATAATGAGATACAAAGTACTAGGACATGGTAGAAGAGAGTATGATTTGCTGGATTTCCTGGAGATTTCTTTTTTATTTGGCCGAGTCTAAAGACTAAAGAAACCCCAAGGGTGATTCGAGTCAACAGGTTTCCTTAACTTGGCCCCTTCTAAATCGATTAAGAATGCAACTTCCAGAATTCCCAACCAGAATATTATTTGAGAAACCTCCGGAGATCACAAGATTGGGGAAGGCTGAGGTAAAATATAGAAACGGAGAAGAAGCGAGCAATGAAAAAAAATTCTTGTAGAATAAATAGATCAGAAGCCCTTTGCATTCTCTCTTCTCCATTTCTTGACTCAGATCTCCAAGGCAAGTGAAAAGTTATTTTCTATGAGGACAGAATGAAGCAGTAAAGGGAAGGGAATCTTCCAGTCATTTCGTCTCAATCTTGTGATGCCTTCTGTGTTCCACCTGGAGACATGTTGCTTTTATAAAGCATTTTTCTCACCTTCTGTTTGTTTGGACTGGGGACAGACCCATTTAGATTAGAACATGTTTCTATTTAGTGTCCCTCAGAGCATTTCTACAGAAAAACACAGATCTGGCAGAACGAAGGATGGCTTCCAAATTCTCATTTTCCAGCAATACAGTTCCTGTGTAAAAAGTCAGCTCAAAAAGTCCTGTACACATCAATAGTTGCAAATGTTTCCTCTACTTTGATTGTGACCAGATCAGTGACCTGTTGTTGTTGGTTTTTGTTTTTTTTAAAAAAAAGATTTACCAGCAGAAGTGTAATTTATTCGAAGTTTAATAAGGAGAGAACTTGGTTTTCTCTCAGGATATTGCCAAAATTCAGTTTCTGTTCGAGGAAAGGAAAACATAAAGTATCAAAACTTGTTTGCACGGATCCCTTAGAAAACATCTAATCTGAGGATGCTGGACAAATGTACTGCTCTGACTGCTGGCAGAAGAAATCTGGGATTAATCTTCCAAAAATCAGTATAAACATTTAGCAGTCATTTGCAAGTTGTTGGCAGAGAGAACAAATCACTGCCATCCTTTAACCTTGTTCCCCGTCATTGTTTCAAAACTGTAGAATCTTAATGTCTTCGGACCTCTAAGTCCAAGAGGCTGATTGATTGGAAAAAGCAAGCAAGAAGTACACACTCATCAAAACAAAAAAGTGTGTACCTTTTTTGAAAAAAAGGCACCAAATATGAGCAACAGCATTTGTTTTAAAAATCACAGGTCTGAAAAGGAATCCTAAAACGTTTTCTTTCTTGGTTAGGAAATGGTGGGGGGGGGGAACCTGCCCCTCCTCCACTTGTTCTTGTAAGGAAAAGGTCCTCTTTGAGGAGGAGGAGGCTGAGGATTAAGACATCTTCCAGAAGGTCAGTGAGGCAGTCAAGACCCCTGCAGCAAAGACAGCAATGGTTTGCCAAGTGGGGGTGCCAAAAAAGGAGAGGAGGCCTTCCTGGAAGGGACAAACAACAAAGGGAGCGAGAACAGAAAGACATCTTATGGTGAAACATTACAGCAATACAGATAATCCTCATCTTATGACCTGTGGCTTACGACGGACCTTCAAAAACGTACTGACAACCTGGTTTCGAAGTTCTGACAGCCACAAGTCATGCGACTGCATTTCAGGCAACCGGATCACTTTGATGGCCATTTGAAGTGTTCCTACAGGTATGTGACCGCAAGGCTGAAAATTCTCATTTACTTCCACTTTTGGGCAAAAAGGCCCCATAGCAAACTATCGGTTCATTTGATGACTGTGGTATTCACTTAATGACTGCGCAAATGAAAAAAGGCTGAAAATTGGATTGGCCTTTTTAGGGTCAGGCTCCATTACATTCATAAATTGAGGATTACCTGTACAAGCATCAAGATAAAAACATCATGTTTACAGTTGCCCCATGAAAGCCCACATCACTGCGTTTCTATCTTCACAGTGGTTTTGTGGAGGAGACTGGGCTGAGACAGAGCACCTCCAAAACATCCAGCAATAGTGGTCTTCATTTGTCAAGACCCCCCCACCAGCCAGGGGTGAAATGCTCCCGGTTCGGACCAGATCACCCGATCCGATAGCGATGGAGGTGGGTAGTTCAGAGAACCGGTAGCAAAAATCCCTGCCCCCTCCATTGCTCAGCTGAGCCGCGCAATCATCAGAGGCTTTTTTTTTTTAAAAAAAAAGCATTTTTACTACAACCTCTTTGGCCAAAAAAATGCTTTTAAAAGTAAAAAAAAAAAAGAAAAGCCTCTGATGATCGCACAGCTCAGCTGGGATCATCAGAGCTTTTAAAAGCATTTTTTCAACAACCTCTTCCACCGAAGAGGTTATAGAAAAAATGTTTTTAAAAGGAAAAAAAGCCTCTGCCGATCAGGCAAGTCAGCTGGGATCGTCAGAGGCTTTAAAAGCATTTTTTTTACAACCTCTTCAGATGAAGAGGTTGTAGAAAAAATGGTTTTAAAAGTAAAAAAAAAGAAAAAAGTTGGCCATGCCCACGCAGTCATATTACACTCCCCCCACCAAGACATGCCCACAAAACCGGTAATAACAAATTTTACATTTCACCACTGCCCCCACCCCTGTCAGAATCAACCCAACCCCTGAACCACACAGGCTCTCTTTGTTTCCCAGCTACTGTATGGTTATGGGGAAAGAAAGTTTTTAAACAAAAATCCATGACGGCTGAAAATTTTGGGATGGCGTAAACTCAAGAAATGTTCAGGAATTGTTCAGCTGGGAGAAAACACATAAAGGAGGTAGTAAGAAGAGAGGAGCTTTAAGAATACTTCTCACTTCACATTTTTCCTCTTTTTTTGTTATTGTTAAATATAAAAAGGAATTTAATTACTTGACAGCCTCTGTCCCTGAGTGAACTACTAAGATCAATATGACCAGTTCTCACCACATACTAAACCACCATGTGATTTGTCTGGTTTTAACTTAGTCTGTAGGAATTCAGGACCCAGATTGTTGGGGGCAATATGATGACTCTGTAAACTGCTTAGAGAGGGCTGTAAAAGCACTATGAAGCGGTATATAAGGCTAAATGCTATTGCTAATTCAATCATTTTTAAAGCCATAGTATATGGTTTAGTGTACTGTACACACTCAGAACTGTGGATTACTAAAACATAGAGTTTTAATGGGCCAAGCAAACTCATCTCAATATATGCTTGTGCTCAGAATTAACTATACTGCACAAAGCTTTAGTTTGTGGGCCCTGGAATTTTGGTATTAAAAAACTGAAATCTGCTTACATCTTTGATAAAGGTTTTCTAATCTGAAGGAAGTCAATGTAAAGTCCCTGTAAACTCTAAATGACTTTAAATGACATTTACACTGTAAATGAGAGCCAGCTTGGTATAGGGTTTAAGGTGCTGGCCTAGAAACCAGGAGTCTCTGAGTTCTAGTCCCACCTTAGGCAGGAAAGTTGGCTGGGTGACTTTGGGCCAGCCACCAGGAGACTGTGAGTTCTAGTCCTGTTTTAGGCATGAAAGCTGACTCGGTGAATTTGTGCAATCACTTTCTCTCAGCCCAACCCATCTCAAAAGGTTGTTGTGGGGAAAATAGGAGGAGGAAGTAGTATTATGTATATTTGCCACCTTGAGTTACTTATAAAGTAATAAAGCTGGGATAAAAAAAATCTAGTAAGTAAACTCACCCATCCTCCCTGGGCTTGGATCCAGGACAGGACATGTTCCTGGATATATTCCATAGTCCAGCTGATGACAGTCCTTAGGAGCTCTGGTAATTTACTGCACACTACCTGTTGAAAAATGACAAAACCGAGAAAGAAAAAAAAGTTAGTTATTAAAAACAGCCAAGATGGGGAGATGTCCATGAAAAAGGAAGCCAGAAATGAACAGCAACTGGGAAGGGTGTATGAAAAAGGGGAAGACTAGAAATGACATACTTACTTTTAGGACCAACTTGCATGCAAAATAAAACAATGCCACCACACGGCCCCAGTTAAAAGCACCGTCCGAGAACATCTCAGCAGCCACTCGAAAGAAAACTTCCTTGGGGGGATACATCTGAACTTGTTCTATCATCCTGTAGGGTGCAGCAAAAAAAAAAACCCCAACAGTCTAAATTAGAGACAGTCAAATATTGGGATAAGCTCAGTGAACCTAATACAATGCAGTTTTTTAAAATGATCCATGCAGAGTTAAATTTTGGCCACCTCTAAAGCTAAGCTCTTTGAAGTCATTTGTAAAAAATTCACTAGATCTGGAAGCAGAGTGAGAGAGTTGTCAAGCTGAACAGAAATAGGCAGCTTTTATTTATTTATTCATTTATTTGTAACCTGCCTTCATTATTTTCACAAATAACTCAAAGCAGTGAACATATCCAAAACACCATCCTCCTCTTATTTTCCCCACATGAACCCTGTGCTGTGGGTTGGGCTAAGAGAGAGTGACTGGGCCAAAGTCACCCAGCCGGCTTTCATGGCTAAGACGGAACTTGAATTCATAGTTTCCTGCTTTCTAGCCTGGTGCCTTAGCCACTAGACCAAACTGGCTCTCTTTTGCCATCTCGCTTTTGCCACCCAGACACCTTCCTAAAGTACTGGGACTACAATTCACTTCCAATAAAAGCTCTGTATGTGAAGAATCAGGTAGATTACAATTGCATTATCCAATTAAGTCAAATTTCCTCTAAGGAACTCCCAGGCTCACTTAGCATCAAATTGGCAATATTAAATAGATACATACTATTCCTAGTTCTGGTACCTTTGCCTTGCAACACTCAATCCAGAGCAATTCACATGGCATTAGTTTTGGCTTGGGGGCTCCTACCAAAAATTATTAATATAATTATTTTAAAAATTGTCCAAGCATATCTGTACTCTGTATAGGATTTGTTCAGACTACAATGTTCTGTAACAATTTACACAGCATTTAGAGACTTCCGGTTGGCACCGCAGGCTTCGTGGACGGTTTCCTCAGACCGCCAGCCCTGTGTCTTCGTAAAAGCCGCTTTGACAGCGTAAATTGGCTGTCTGGCGGCTGAAAAACCTCCCCTTCGGGAAAAGAAGGAGAGGAGAGCCGGTGGGTGAGATTAGAGCTCCCCAAAAGTCCTCTGGAATATTTCCAGGGGCTTGGAGGGTGAGAGCTCCCCAGTCAGTCCGCCAAGAAGCTCCGAAGCCGGGATGACCTGCGAAAGCAGAGCGAGAAGCCGCGATCCGATCCTGAGTGAGTGACTGATTACGAGCACAGGCAGAGCGGAAACAGGAGAACAAGCTTTAAAAGTACAGAACTTAACTCCGGAGTTACTTTGTTTCAAACTGAATTTCATTGAGCTGGAGGCTGAAGATGGCGTCTTTGTTATGGTTTTGAAAGTGAAAGCCAGAAACGAAAGTGCTTATTGAGAACTTTGCACTGGGAGAGTGGATTAGCTGCTTATTAACTGCTGGAAAGTGAGAGCTTGTGGAGAAAAAAAAACTATCTTGCCTGATAAATTAGAGACTATAAATTACAAACATTTTATAGTTTTTTAAGGGACTTTGTCGCTTTGGGGAAAAAAAAGAGAAAAAAAGATCTTTTTAAAAGGGGGGGGGAAAGGCTTCTAAACAAGTGAAACCAGGAGTTGTTAAAGGAGGGGGAGGTTCTCCAGTTGTGTCAGTGGTGACACAGAAAGCACAACTTCCGGCTGATTCACAGAGTCAGGAGGCTGCTCTCAATGATTTTAAAGAGTTTATGAAAGAAGCCATGAATAATCAAGCAACAGCAATAAAAGAAGCTATGAATAATCAAGCCACAGCAATGAATAATTTAACAGTACTTGTGGAAGGGAAATTAAAGAAAGTTGTGGAGGATATAAGATCAATTAAAGAAGTGGTTGCAGAAAAACACGATGAAATAAGAGATGATATTGTTTATGCTGTTATCAGGATTGTCAAAACTTGTTATCCAGTTTGATGGGAAAGTGGAAGGAATTAATGAAGCCAATTTAAATTTGGATAGCAAAATGGGAGATGTAATGACCAAAACAGAGAAATTGGATGATGAACTGGTAATCTTACAATACCGATCCATGGAATTTGCTTTGAGATTGAGAGGCCTGAAAGAAAACAGCAAAGAAAATTTAAAAGATATTTGTGCCGATGCTATTGCAGAGATAATTAAAGAAAGACCAGAAGATGTGGCAAGCCAAATTGATAAAATTTACAGGGTTAACTCCTGGCTGGCAAGACAAAGACAGCTGCCAAGAGATGTGGTGATTTATTTTACAACCAGGAGGATCAGAAATGATATTTTACAAGCTTCCTACAAGAATAAAGTTCAGGTGGCTGGGCAAGAGGTGGTAGTTTTGAAAGAGATTCCTCCAAAGATGCTGAGAAGTAGAAAAGACTTTGGCTTTTTGATAAATGAGCTGAGAAATCAACAAGTGGCATTCAGATGGGACGTTCCAACTGGTCTAAGAGTGACTTATAATGGAGAAAGATACCGGTTAAACACAGTCTGGAAGGCGAAAGATTTTTATGTAAATGTTTTAAAGGCTGGATACCCACCCTCACCAGGTGGGGGAAGGAAGAAAATGGAGATGATACAACAAGAAAAAGATGGAAAGGAGATACAAACTTATGCGGAGGTTGCAGCTGGAGGAATTATCATGGAAGAAGATTTGGATCTTGGGGGTTTACCCCAACCTTGGAACCACCTAAGAAGGGAGAGCCGAAAGCACAACGACTGACCCGATCAACTTATAAACTTCAAGAACCCCAGACATGCAATAGAAAATATAAGTATAGAGCAAAAAATAGAGGTGATTACTTATAAAGAGCTTCTTCTTTTGGAAAGGGGTAAGTTGCAACTGAAATCTTTAGATGAATTAAAAGAAGAAGGGATAATTTATACTTGGTTTCAGTATGGTCAGCTTCAAGCTAGATGGAGGGAAGATCAAAAAAATGGTGTTATGCAAAATTAGGAAAATCTGGTGAAACAGATTAGAGATCAAAGTCAGATGCATATTAAAAGGTTGTATAATGCATTATTGGAAATAGATTCCGAAACGGAATTGGTTAAGGATTGTATGATAAAATGGGCACAAAATTTTCAGGAACCAGTGATGATGGAAACATGGGAAAAGATTTGGGTCAGAAATGTTAAATTTACGCAAGCACAAAATTTGAGAGAGAATTTTTATAAAATGTTTTATAGATGGCACTTAGATCCTAAAAAATTATCATGTATGTACTCGAATTTGCAAGCTATGCTGGAGATGTGAATGTAATGTATTATCATATATGGTGGACCTGTAAGAAAATCAAGGCATTTTGGATAAAAATTTGGTGGGTGATGTAGAATATTCTGAAAAGAAGGTTGAAATTTACTCCTCAATTGTTCCTGTTGGGTATAACGACGGATTGTACAGTATCAGAGACTAATTTGATTTTGAACTTAATATCAGCAGCTAGGCTGTTGGTAGTGCAATATTGGAAGAAGGACTCTTTGCCTACTATTGAAGAGTGGATACTGAAAGTAACGAACTTAGCAGAAATGGCGAAAATCTCAGCATACCTGAAGGACTATACACAAGAAAGAGACATATCGGAATGGAGAAGATGGATTGATTATATTCGAAATAAGTATCAGAAAAGAAAATATCAAATAGCTTATGAATGAACGTTAAGTATTAGAAGTATTATGTTATCTATAGTGGAGTTAAGGTTTCAGGGGGGGAGTTAATAGTCTAAGGATAAGTAGGTTAATCTAGTTTATGATTGTTAAATGAAATACCTTGTATTTTGCTCTGGGAAGTCTGGGGGGGAGGGTGGGATGAGGGAGGGAAAAGGTGGGGGGAACATGGGGGGGAAAATTTTTTTTTTTCTGTAAAACTTTTCAATTAAAAAAAAAACAATTTACATAGCATTTGAACAACTGATATAGCCAATTATATAGTATTTAATTTTTACTGTGTAATGCTCTGCAAACTGCAGTACTTAAATATAAATAAAACTGATTGATTGATTTAATCAGTTCAGGATTACACAGAGGTGTCAAACGGATTAACAGCAGACAGAAAAGCAATAACTATATGAATGCAAAGCTTACTTCTATTAGGCAGAAGACTAATAGCAGCTATATATCTGAACTTTGGGGATTTTATACGACAGGTATTCCTTGACTTATGACTTAGCAACTGTTCGAAGCTATACTGTCCTCCAAAAGGTACTTATGACCTGGATTTCAAAGTTCCAATGGCAGCACAGACACACCCAGGAGCCATATGATTATATTTTGGGCGCTTGGTAACTGGCTCACATTTATGACTATTTGCAGCTTCCTATGGTCATGTGACCATGATTTACTCTGTGTGTGCGGCGCGCACATGTGCATTTTGCTGGAGAGGGAGGGAGAGGGAGAGAGAGAGACAATATAACTTTATTGTCACTTTCAATGTATACTAATCGGCATACATTAAAATGAAATTTTGTTGCATACAGTTCTCAAAAGGTAACCACCTCCAATATTTTACTTCCAGTTTCTGGCAAAATCTGCCCATTATGGATAATGTATCTAATAATTTTAAAAAATGGACAATGGGCTGCTACTACTACTACAAAATATATCATAAAATTGGGTCGGCCAGATGGGTGCCTCAATTTATGATGTACAATGGAAATTCTGGGGCTCTACTGCATTGTAAGTCAAACAGTCAAGTTGTAAGTCAAGCAGACTAAAAGCATTGTGATTAACACCAGCTGCCTGCAATTACTGCAGGTTCGAATCTCGCCAGGCTCAAGGTTGACTCAGCCTTCCATCCTTTCTAAGGTAGGTAAATTGAGGACCCAGTTGTGGGGGCAATAAGCTGACTTTGTATAAATATACAAAAGTATGAAGGCTATTGTTTAATGCATTGTAAGCCGCCCTGAGTTTCCGGAGAAGGGCGGCATATAAATCAAATTAAAAAAAAAAAAAGTTCTCTCTCCCCCACAACCAACTGTTATTGTTTAGAAGTGTTCATGAATAATGGGACGGCAAATAACAATTTAGATCTTCTAAAAAAGAAATAATGGCTATAGTGGTGGTGCAACAAACACTGAAATTTGATCACGTTACCTCTGCAGCTCCGTGTTTCCATCCAGCTCATCTCCAATCCGGCGCAGGCAGTCACTTAGTGATTTGGTATTGGAGTTACAAGCCTGAGCCTCTGGATTGTTAAGCTCTGCCATGGTCACCTCAATGCGTTCCGAATCTCCACAGCACTGTACCCGATCCCTGATAAAGCTGAAACAGGATCCCAATAAGATAAAATAAATCATACGAGAATTTTCAGCCCGAGATCTCAACCAGCTCTGTCACGGCAGGTCTTCGCAGAAGAATCAACAGCTCAAAGTTTTGGCTTAGTTCGTCCAAGAGGGGAACTATATTAGTGGCAAAATCCAAACTTTTTTACTACTGGTTCTGTGGGCGTGGCTTGACGGGCATGGCGTGGCTTGGGGGACGTGGCAGGGGAAGGATACTGCAAAATCTCCAATCCCACCCCACTCCTGGGAGGATACTGCAAAATCTCCATTCCCACCCCACTCCTGGGGGAAGGATACTGCAAAATCTCCATTCCTACCCTACTCTGGGGCCAGCTAGAGGTGGTATTTGCCAGTTCTCCGAACTGCTCAAAATTTCCGCTACCAGTTCTCCAGAACCTGTCAGAACCTGCTGGATTTCACCCCTGAACTATATGCCTCTAGAATACCGTGTTTCCCCGAAAATAAGACAGGGTCTTATTTTCTTTTGACCCCCCCAAATAAGGACTTGGCCTTATTATCGGGGGGGGGGAGGTGTTCCTTATTATTTTGGGGGTGCAGGAGGCAGTAAGCGTGGGACTGGATGTCCTGTTGCTGTCGTCGCCTCCCCTCCCCATTCTTCGCATTGGCCACTGCCCTGACGTGTTCCGCCACCGCTGCTTCCTCGTGGAGCAGGACTCTGCAAGGCTTGTGCCGTTGCATGCATGAACTGCAGCACTGCCACGAGCTTCATCATACCGGCACAGCTGGTGTTCTGCTGCTTGCGGCTGTGCCAGTATGTCAAACCTCGCGGCTGTACTGCAGTTCCTGCATGCAACGGCACAAGCCTTGCAGAGTCCTGCTCTACGAGGCGGCAGCGGCGGCGCGACGAGTATCACAAAGGCTCGTTTCTGGCAGGTGAGATGGGGGAGAAGCGAGACACTTCTTGCCCACCTCAGCTACCACCCCCAAATTGCACCCTAAAGGGGGCGGGTTGCTAAGCAAGGGGCAGGAGTCCCGTCATGCCCCGCGGGGCGAGTGGGGCACGTAGTTGGTGATGGGGGGACTTATTTTGTGGGGGTGGCATATATTATCACATGTCCTGAAAAGTCCGATTGGCCTTATTTTCAGGACACGTCTTATTTTCGGGGAAACACGGTAGTACCTCTCAATCTTAGCTTCTCAACCTTAGCAACATCAACTCCCAGAATTCCACAGCTCTTTAATCTCATCAAGGCTGAGGAACCCTGGTCTAGATATTTGCTGAAGATATAGAACTCACCTTTTGAGAAGAATGGTTCCTGTCTGAAGGATTTGATCTGAACTTGTGCCTGAAAGGGACAAAAGCACATGAGCTATGAGGAGAAGAAAAGGTCTCTAGGATCAAAAGAGTCAAGTTAATTAAGATCTAAGCTCTGCCCAGCTCAACATCCTGCTTCACATCATTGAACTACAGGTAGTTCTTGATTTACAATTATTTTTGTTTAATGACTATTCAAAATCAGAATGGAACGGTAAAAAAGTGACTTGTGACCAGTTCTCAGACTTATGACCATTGCAGCCTCCCCACAATCACACGATCAAACTTCAGGTGCTTGGGAACCGGTGTACATTTAAGATGGTTGCAGGGTCCTGGGATTGTCATGTGCTTCCTAGGCAGCTTCAGACAAGCAAAGTCAATGGGGGAAGTCACATTCACTTAATGACTGCCCAATTCACTTAACAACTATAATGATTTGCTTAACAACCACAACAAAAAGGTCATAAAATGAAACATAACTCACTTAACAACTGCCTCATTTAATAATGGAAATTCTGGGCTCAACTGCGGTTGAGGACTCCTTGTACCGGAATCCCACTCCCAGGATATAAAGAATTTCCATTCTCTATGACTCATCTAATCCCTATTACGGTCTGTCATCACATCTTGCTCAGCAAATGGCAGAAATCAATTGACTGCACTATGGGCCACGTGCCGTTATTATATGTTTATATGTTTTGTTATGACATGCCTAATAAATGGCAACAGCTTGAGTTGTTTAACAAGATAAGCCAAAACAAACCTAATATTAGGGAGGACCGGGGGAAAATTCAAAAAGACTTAGGCTAGAATAGCAGGCAAGAACAAGTAGATTAAAAATAAGTACAGGTAGTCCTCGACTTACGAACATTTGAGCCCAAAACATATCTTGCTAAGTGAGACAGTTGTTACGACAGTTATTAAGTGAATCAGTACAATTGTTAAGTTAGTTAACACAGTTATTAAATGAATCTGGCTTCCCCATTGACTTTGCTTGTCAGAAGGTCACAAAAAGAGATTTCATGACTCTAGGACATTGCAACCATCATAAATACGAGCCAATTGCTAAGCATCTGAATTGTGATCATGTGACCATGGGGATGCTGCAATGGTCGTAAGTATGAAAAAGAGTCATAAGTCACTTTTTCAGTGCCCTTTGGACGGTCACTAAATGAACTGTAGTAAGCCATGGTCTACCTATAGGGGGAAAGGTAACTAGGTAAGGAAAACGAGAGACGTGTGTACAAGATAGGATAAATCTGGTTCAGAAGCGGCACTTGTAAGAAGTACTTAGATGTACTAATGAATCACAAGCTCAACCTATTCCAATAGGGCAGGGGTGGACAATGATGGCCCCTTTACGACTTGTGGACTTCATTTCCCAGAATTCCTGTGCCAGCATGGTTGGCTCAGGAATTCTGGGAAATGAAGTCCACAAGTCGTAAAGGGGCCATAATTGCCCACCCCTGCAATAGGGTAATGCAACTGAAAAGAAGGCCAACAATCTCTTGAAGAGCTTCAACAATCTCTTGAAGAGCTTCAAGAGGAGCGTAGAGTCCAGATCACAGGAAGTAATTGTCCTTTCTGCTCTGCCTTGGTCAGGCCTCAGAGTATTGTGCTGAGTGCTACACTTGATAAACAGAAACAAGTCTAGAGAAGAACTATCAGGATGATGAAAGATCTGGAAAACAAATTAATCCTATGAGGAATGGTTAAAAGAACTAAGCATGTTTAGGTTGGAGAAGAAAAGATTGAGAACGGGCATGATAGCCATCTTTAAATATCTGAAGGGTTGTCATACCCTTCCAAAATGACCGAAGGGTTGTTGTAGAGCAGGGGTGTCAAACTCAATTTCATTGAGGGCCACATCAGGGTTGTGTTTGATCTTCGGGGGCGGGGGGGCTGGGGTTGTGTGGCCAGGGGGGGTGGCCAGCTCAACGTCAACTCGTGTTGGGAGTGCCTGTGGTGGCCCGAGCGCTCTGCCAGCAGAAATTGGAGCATAACCCACCCAAGCTCTGTTTTCGCTGGAAGAGGCACCACAGGCCAGTCTTTGCTGTTTCTAGGGTGGCCCCACGGGCCAGATCTAAATACCCTGTGGGCGGGATCTGGCCCACAGGCCTTGAGTTTGACACTCCTGTTGTAGAGGGTTAGGGTTAGGACGATTCTCCCTTGCTCTGGAGGGTAAAGCAAAGCTAATGGGATGAATCTTCCAGGGATGTAGATACAGATTAGACATTAGGAAGAACCTGAGAGTAAGAGCTTCTGGTCAATGGAACAGGTTATGCATTACATAGAGTGGTTTCTTAATCTTCCCTGGTGGTTTTCATCTACCGGACATGGGGTAGTGGATCTTGCAGTGTCCAAGGGGATGGAACTGATGACTGATGAATCGAAACTAAGGGAATGATGAACAGAAACTAAAAAACAAACTTACGGAGTAGCATGTGAACCTTTGTACACTCTTACTCATGTCAACATGGTTGACTCATCTTTTAATCGAGAAACCCCTTTACCACAGCCCGAAATTTACCCGTTGCAAATGTCAATAAAAGTTGATAAAGAAAATCAAATTCTTCCTTCATCAGTTCTAACAAATAAGCCAATTTCCTTTTTCATTTCTTTGACGTGCCACCCATTTCCTTTCAAGACAGTCTCATCATGACTAATTATTTACCTAGCAGCATATTCCATGTGATCGTTTCAAGTATCAGTTCATTATTTTTGGTCTCTCCATAGAACTAATAAAGAGACCAAGGATCTAAAACACTCAGCCAGAAATAATTCATCTCTAACTTCAACATTCTTCTACCTGGCTCACACAGATGTCAGGGTGACCGGAAGACGGCAAAGCTGCCTTCCAGCCATAATGTAAAAATGGTTTGACTTAAGAGTTTCTTAGAGCTTTATGCAGAGCTTTATCCTTGATTTAGCCTGGAATTATGGTTGCAAATCATGCTGTTTGCTGGTGACCATGGCCAATTTTACAACCTTTTTTGCACCAATCATTAAGTGAATTACCATGATTGTTACGTGAGTCTGGAAAATTGAAAGTAAATGGTGGTTTCTGTCAAAAAAACACATTAAATCGTAGTCATGTGACCACGGGACACTGCAAATGGATGTTGATGAGGGCCAGTTACTGAGCACTCAAAATATGATTACATGACCATGCTGGGGGAGGGGGGGAGAGATGGCCATTGGAATTTTGAATTGTAAGTAGCCCCAGGGAGGTCCATCATAATTCAGAACAGTCACTAAGCGGCCAATTGTTAAGTTGAGGCCTACTTGTACATATATTTATTATTAATTTGTATGAGAAAATGCCTTTGTTGTTAGAGCAACGTGAAACCAAAACCTGTTTTTAAAATATGCTCCGCATGGCTAAAGTAGATATATAAGTTAGCAGTGATGCCAGGTTCACAAAAAGTTCAGAACTTACTTAGCCATTTTTTCCCTTAACATTTGTTTGTATTCTTGAGTCTTTGCACATACATGTTCCTACCTCCCATGTTTTCTATTCTGTCAACACTTCCCCATGATCAGCAAAGAATCTGATCTAGAAAGAATCTTTGCCTGACAGAGTAATACATCCTTGCCTCCCATTCACCCCGCAAAAATGCGCCAATTAAAAATGTATGTTTTACACCGGAGTAAAACTGAATTTTTCTGAAATTTCAATACAATCTCTAGTGCCTGGATCCTCATAAAACATGCTGCAGGTTATGTCTTCCTGTTTTTTTTTCACATTTATACCTTGTGCCTTTTTCAACCCTCCTGATCTAAATTTAGATTGTAAGTTGCTAACAAGCAGAGACTTGTCCTTTACGTAATGATCACTAACTTGATTTTGATAAAGTAATGAGACAGATTTACGAAAGGCACATCTGATAAGATGATTATCAACCAGAGAGCCAAAAAGAACTACTTCCAGAGGCAATATTCCTCTGAACAATAATCTAGCAGTGTTTGTGAATTTTGACAACTTTTAAGATGTGTGGACTTCAACTCCCAGAATTCCCTAAGCAACATCCTCTGGCTCCTAAGTAGTTTTTAGATTTCTGTTTTATTTTCCTGTGGCCAAAAAAAATAAAAAATGAATTAGAAATACTATTATTTAATCTGATTAAGCATGGCCTTTAAAGAATTAATTAGGTATTTAATACATGTTAGCACCAATACCTATAGTAAAGACCATTCATTTATTTACATGGCTGCCCATCTCTCAACAGAGATTCTGGGCAGCTAACAGAATTAAAAGTCAAAAGAAACAAACCCGTAACAAAAAAAAATTCAATATAGGTTATAACAAAAAATAAATAAAAAACACAAAGGGCCACAGCAAGAACTACAACACCCATCTCAATGGCTAGGGAAAAACAAACCCAATTCATATATCAGTTTTGGTGAAATGAATTTTATTGTAAAAAAAATACAGTGGCAAATTATTTGATACATTTCTAAAATTTAGTTCAATATCATTTTTGCTGGTTTTGATTTCTGCCTACCAAAGGATCCCTGTTGTTTTGCCTAAAAATGGAGAATATTTTTTCTCTTTATTTTCTCAAATTTGGAAACATAGGCAGAAATAAACAAATACAGGTCAAGTACTAAACTATAAGATCTAAATTAACAGAACTACCACCAAAGTATATTATCAAATCATCTTAACAGGCAATCAAGATGGATTAACTGTTTTTCTTAAAAATGAGGATCTTAGTTAAATCACATTTTAAAATGTTATTGAGATCTTATTTAATTCAAACACATCAATATGAATATTCATTTGAACTTTGAATTATATTTTATCAGCATATTGGTTAATGGTAACCAATTAATTGACCTTGTTTGACAAGACACACCATTTTCTTATGTCTCTTTGTAAAACTGAGAAGACAAAGATGGAGGGAGGGGAAATGGAAGAGACTTGGACAAGAGGAAGAAGGGGTGGTGGGCGTACAGTTTCTTAAAATAAATTTCTGAGTTCTGCTGGAGAAAATGTAGGAATTAAATCCTATTGAGACAGCACACCAGAGTCACTTGAGAATAATTTTTGAATCTCCAGATAAGGCAACCATGTGTATCAAATGCCAAAGTAATTCTATTTTTCAGAAACTGAATCAAAAAGTACCAAAGTACTGAAAAATATATTTCTATATCAAAGTACAAGAAAGTAATTATTCTTAAACTAGTGTTTTAAATCAAATCTATCATCCTTTAAACATATTAAATCTTCACTCCAAAAGATCTATGTGAAAAGCAAAACCGAAGCTGAACATTTGTAACTTATGGTTATGAGATGGACACTTATCAAGAGCAAAGTCCCATTACTATTAAAAAGCATTGCACAGCTATTCCATCTTTCTCTTTATTACTGGATATTATTTGTGTATGTGTTGTGTGTGAGAGAGGGAGGGAGGGACATAAATAACAGTTTTAAAAAATGGATGTATTACAGTTGGAATAAATTTGGAGCACTTGCACATTCAACTTAAGAAACGGAAAGCTTAGCCCAATAAAATCCTCATCTAGAAACACCTGAAATATAGACTCCACAGCTTCACTACAATACCATTTTTTTGCTTTCCCTCATTTCATTTGTTAAGAATTCAAAAGTTTCCGTGCCGATTTTGTGACATTTTAATTAACTTCCTGAAGACACTGCCCTTATATAGATTTTCAGTTTCTACTTTGATGCTATGCTAGCATCCATCGCCATCTCACGTTTCAATGTTCTGTTGTGGCTTTGATTTTCGGGAACTTATTGTGCTCCTTTGTGCACCAGCCACTTGAAATATAGTGACTATAACAATTTTAACAAGAAAAGACCGTGCAAAGAACCTTTTCAAACACTTCCAACTCGGTTGCAGCACCTGAAATCTGCCCTGGCATCGCCCACTCCCACCCAGAGGTTTGAATACTGACAACTCTGCTGTCTTTGAAACGGGCTTTTTCCCAAATCTTGCAATAATTTGGATTTATTCTTGGTAATACATCTATTTCTATATCTTCCTCCTTCTCCTCCATGGGGTGGAGGTGTGTGTATTGATGTACTGTGATTTTGTTTTCAATTTGAATCAGAGTTGCTTTCCAGTCGGGTGGCTTTAGGAATCTAAATAGTCAATTGACAGATTCTCATCGGAATTGTTAATGCATTGTGGCTTTGTTTTTAATTTGAATTCAAAGTTGCTCTCGAGTGGGGTGGCTCTAGAAATCTAAATCATCAATAAGCAGATCCTCATCGGAATCCGGGCTCAGCATCTTTGGAGCGCTAAATAAAACTCTCCTGCTAGCTAGGTTTCCCCTATTGTCGTTTCAAAAATCCTTAATTCTGATTTAGTCACCCTCAAGCAAGAATAAAGCCTCCCATAGATGAAAAGCACCCCGAGGAGGAAGCAGCAGAAGCCCAAAGGCAGCCGAGGGTTTTTGTTTTTTGTTTTGCCCGCCACTTGAACCTACCTGGCAGGGTTGTCGCACGGACACAAACAAAACATGCCCACGGCCCTGCCCTTCTACAACCCTCCGACAAGCAGAGGCAATGGGGGGACTCGCTGGGTGGAGACGGCGACTGTCGGGAGTCGGTCTCCTTAGGAAGGCGCTAGGCTGGAGAGGAGCAGCATCAAGGCGCTCAGGCTAAAGGGCGAAGGGAGCCATGGAAATCTTCATGCCCGGGCATGCCCTCGTCTTCGGAGAGGCAGCTCGCGCGCGTTTTGGCGTTCAGCCTCCGACAGGCTGCCCCGGCAGCCGCGCCCCGCCTTCCCTGCTCCCGGAGCCCCGGCACGCTCACCCTCCATGCGAGGCGGGAGCTCCCGCTCCCTCCCGGGACCCGCCGCTGCCGCCGCCATCGCTCCACTCTACTCAGCTGTGCCCGACTCAAGGCGGCAACCCGCTTTATAGAGTCACGTGATCCAGCGGCCGGCAGGGGGACAGGAGGAATAATAATAATAAAAAAAAAAAGTGAGAGAGAGGAGAGGGGGGGGAAGAAAAGCAGCGCGGAGAATGGGAGAGGGTCATTGCCGGTCACGTGACGATGCAGCGGCACCCGAGAGAGGGAGAGGCGGGCTGAAGCCATGACATCCTCTTCTCTGGTTGCCGGCTTGAAGAGCAGAGGAGGGAAAGTGTGGGGGGGGGGGGGGGGGGGGGGGGGGGGAGGCCGGGCGGGTAAATGCCACCGCGGAAAGTTCCGTCAGCTCATGCGCAAAACTGTTTTCGTAGCAAATGCATGTAAGGGCATAATCTCCACCCACCCAGTCCACGACTTTGTGGGTCACGTGACCCCGGTGCCGTCGTTCCTTTCTAAAAGAAGGGGGCGAAAGTAAAGCGATCGTGCGATGCGAAGTAAGGGATTGTGCGAGGCGGAGGAGGCCCCGCCCCGTTCGAAGAAAGACTTTTTAATCCCCCGGCACTGCCGATAGGGGGCAGCAAAATGAACTTCAATTTTAAAAATGTTAGATTTGCTTCTTGGGTAAACGTCCAAGGTTGGACTAAAATGGCTAAAAACTAACCAGGCGGGATTGAATTCGCACAATAGTTAGTCCTCAGATTACAGCAGTTCACTTAGTGACTTCGAAGTTACAATGGCAATGAAAAAAGTGATTTATGACCAGTGGTGAAATCCAAGTGTTTTTTTTACTACCGGTTCTCTGGGTGTGGCAGGGGAAGGATACTGCAAAATCCCCATTCCCTCCCCACTCCTGGGGTAAGGATATTGCAAAATCTCCATTCCCACCCCACTCTGGGGCCAGCCAGAGGTGGTATTTGCCGGTTCTCCGAACTAATCAAAATTTCTGCTACCGGTTCTCCAGAACCTGTCAGAACCCGCTGGATTTTACCCCTGCTTATGACCATTTTTCACACTGATGATCGTTGCAGCATCCCTGTGGTCGTGTGATTTACATTTGGATGCTTCACAAGTGTCTTACATTTATGACGGTTGCAGTGTCTTGGGGTTATGCCATCACCTTTTGCAACCTTCAGACAAGCAAAGTCAATGAGGAAACTGGATCCACTTAACAACAGTGTTAGTAATTTAACCTCCTCAGTGGTTCATTTAATAAATGTGGCAAGAAATTGTAAAATGGTGCTAAACCCACAATGAATTTCTCACTTAACAACCTAAATTTGGGGCCCAATTGTGGTTGTATGTTGAGGACTAACTGTATTGTACACCCCATCAAAATACAGTTGGCTAGTAGCTTAATCATGGTTGTGTTGAAGTGAACAGTTTTAAGAATTCTTCAATGAGCTAAAATAGAAAGGCAAGGCAGGGAAAAACCTCTTTAGTCAAAGTGAAAAACTAGATATACTTTGAAATGCAGGAATCGCAAACTATTTATTAGATTTTTATGTCGCGTGTATTATTAAAACATAAATTCGCCTTCCTCTTATTTTTCCCACAACCACCCTATGAGGTGGGTTGGGCTCAGAGAGAAGCACTGGCCCAAAGTCACCCAGCCGGCTTCCATGTCCAAGGCAAGACTAGAACTCACAGTCTCCTTGTTTCTAGGCCAGCGCCTTAATCACTACACTGACTGGATATGCAAACCACCAAAAAATGTCCATATTGTTGCCAATGAAACTACTTACGAACATGTTATATCATCAAGAATTGAATTCAACTTGGGATATTTTCTTTTAACTTGTAAAAAACCCTATGCTCTTGATTTTAAACTTTTACTTAATTGTTGCTAATTTTAATCTTAATGCTTTAAAAGTTTTTATAATTTATGCTTTTATTTTATTGTAAGCATTCCAGAGTTACTCAGGACAATGAAATGGGTTGCATATGAATTTAATAATAAACAAACAACAGCAGTCAAATTGCTTAGAATTATCTGGTGTTTGGAAGGAAATAGATGTGCTATCAAGTTGGTGCCAACACTTAGCAACTACATAAATAACTTTTCTCCATCAGAAAGAAAAGATACTCAAAAGTTTCTCCTTCCTGGATCAAATAAAAACATAGATTCTGATTTTTCAGTTTTAGATGCCCTAAAGTTGAATAATTTGTTACCCTTACTAGGATATCAAGTATATCAAAGGTATACAACCTAAAGTTTTAGGGATTTAAATGATTATTAACTTGCAGAGTTCTCCAAATACTACAAATAAAATATGGAGGAATTTCAACTATGGGGTCCTTGGTGCTCTCTGAGCTTGGTGGTTTGTTTGTAGATGTTTTATTACTGAACTGGGTATAGCAACACCGGTGCAAACTCCTCTCTTTTAGCACTGATGATGTTACCTAGTTTGGTAATGAAATGTCTGCAAGAAAACCAAGCTCCGAGAACAGTGAAGTCTCCAGAGTTCTGCCCAGAGCTACAAATATTCTCTTCTATCGGTACATATCAACTATGTTTTAATTTCAATTACATTAAATCAAATGCAGTTTTTGTACTTCCTTCATGCATTATGAGTTTACACAATTGGAATAGGCAGCTGGTTATTTTAAAATCATTTTTTTTTAAAAAAAAATCTGAAAATGTAGTCACATCAGCTCCTGTACGGCATTGCCATTTTATTTTGACCATTTTGAAATACTCAAAAGTGATGTAAGTTTAGCGACATGGATCATATATGTGGTACCTGAAATTTTGGGCTTCAGCATTTTTAAAAAGGCGATACTAGCACTTTTAACATGGCAGTTTAGGCCTTTTTTTTAACTTCAGAAAAACACTTTATTTCTATTTTTGGCCAAAACCATCTTTGATATTCAGGAATTTGTGTTTTTGCTGCTAAACAAGACAGGATATTCTGAAAGTTCTTGAATATACCCACACGTTTTAAGAAAGATACAAACTCAGCTGAAGTGCAACCCATAAATTTGCCACTTTTGGTATCTAGTTGTCTAGAATTTTCTATTCGAGTCTCACATACAATTGTTATAAGATAGAAATCCAGCTGAGAAAGAGTAACATAACCCATAAATCCAGCTGGGTTTGTACCTGTCTTAAAACTTGCAAGTGTAAGTCTTTTATTGTTTATAACATATAACAATAAATGTTTATAACATATAACAATAAATTGTCATTTGTTTCTGTACCCCATAAAAGGACTTGACCATCATTTAATAAATGCTTTTTGCTTTGCCTGAATTACTTGGTGATTTGTACTTTTGATGATTCATATTTTCAGGTGGGCAAAGAAGCCCTTTTGCAAAGGTAAAAGTGTCTCTCTCAAATTCAGGGATCAAGTTCTTATTAGCTCCACATCAAACTCTGGTGTCTGAGTTTCAAGGCAACAGACACAATAGGGAAAATATTATATTTTGAACCATTTGGGGTACACCATTTCATGAAATCTGATTCTGAATGGGGAATTCCGAAATCCCTGAAACAACCAGTTCCACATTTTGGAACTTTTATAGCACAAAGAGTGACTGAGATGTCCTTAGGTTGCCCAATTAAAATGAAATAAATTGTGACAGCTATATCTATGTTTTTAAGTGCCCTAATTTGAACAAGGAAAACTTCCCTAATTCTTTATTGCCACTGCAGTTCTTTAATGTATGATAAAGAAGTTTAAATCAACCAAGATAGAAATCAGACACATTTTCCCATCCCAGGAATTTAATACAATGCAATTGTTTGTGCTAAACAGCTTTTATTGAAGAGAAAGGGGGAAACAATTAAATATGTTTTCTTCTTTAAGGCTCATTTGTTGACCTCAGGTTCTGTTCCCGCATAAGAAATTGACACCTGTCGTCAGAACAGTGGAGTTTTAATTACTTGCTTTGTTCTTCCCTGCATTAGGGAAGTCCTCAAAACAAAATTTAAACCCCAACATACAGTTCATTTATTGAACTATTGAAAAGTTCAGTAATTCCCCATAGAGAATATTATAAAACAAGCAGTCTGTTGACTACTTCTCCAAAGCTTTTAGCTCTTTGAGCTATAATCTCTGACAGAGTACTGGAAAAGTCCATCCTCCCCTTTATTTCCCACTGAAGTAGAATCATACAGAAGTAAGGCTATGATTTGGTTATGCAAGGAATAAATACACCACTAGTAGTAACTGAGAGTTCTCAAACTGCACCACCATAACTGCTTACAGCAGCTTGTGCATCTAAAACAAGGAGCATAGCTGGCAATGTTTTGACCACTTTGCTCTTCCAATTTTAAAAAAAAAATTTGTAACAACCCTCCTAAGAGGTCCCAACCCAGAGCTTCTTCCAAGTCACCAGTGGTAACGATTAGTCTAAATTAGTTTAAAACAATGTTTCTCAATCTCAGCAACTTTTAAGAGATGTGGACTTCTAGTCCCAGAAGTCGCCAATCAGCATGGCTGGCTGGAGAATTCTGGGAGCTGCAGTTCACATATCTTAACACTGCCAAGGTTGAGAATACTGCTTTAGAACATGAAAGGATGTAGTGTCATCAGATATCAGGTGGGACGTTGCTCTTGAGGAGCTTACAATCTAAAATGAATTTTGGGAAATAGGGAGGAACACATACCAGTGTGAGACATAGATGCTTTAGCATCAAATGCACCTGGACATCAGGCCTTTTCTTCCTGGATCTTTCATTTTCTTGGCAGAACATGATGCTGCTATCTGTTCAATCATGTCCAATTCTCAGGAATTCCCAGCGATCTCTGCATTTTCCTGTTTTGTATGGTTTCTTTCTTGTTCTATGCTCTTGCTGGTGTGAACTTTATATCATGGTGTCTAGCCATGATATTTTTTAATGGCCTCATTTCCTTTTACCACTGATCACTGGAGAGCATAGTGCCTTGAAATCCAGTAACTGTAATTTTCCAGTCAGAGTTTGTCCAACCAATAATTTTTAAAGATGCCTTCATGGGGAACAGAACACTCTTTTGACAGTCGTTCAAACTGTAAGGTGGTTCACCAAAGTGAAGAGAGTCCACTTAAATATATTTTATTTACAGGTCCTTTATCGTTCCATTTTTCATTTTTACTGTCTTCCAGCACAAGTCATGTGTCTTCCAAGATGATGATATGGAATTGTTGTGTGTTGTTCATTCACATTTATTGAAAAAGGGGGCTCATATGACAAACTATCCATTTGGAAGCTGGTTACGTTTTCCAAATGTTTTTTCTGTCCTCACAAAGATCATACGAAGGGCAGATTTTTTAAAAGAATGGAATAATAGTGCAATCTTCACTTTTATAGATATCCTTAACAATTGTCTTCTTTTGTATTTTTAAAAAATGTTTAAAGTTACAACTGTTTACAGTGCCCTATTAATTTTTTAAACACACCAATTGTGTTACTGTTAACTTTTTGATTCTTTCCAACCCAATGAAATACTGCAAAGATACTATGTAAAGGGACTTGGGACTTTATCTGCCTGTTCATCAGCAGAATAAGACCAAATTTGGTGTGGGAGAAGTCGTCCATAAAAGAAAGGTCAAATGTAAAGTGATCCAGATCAGGCCAGCATTAAAAAAAAAAAACTGTCAGAAAAATCCCCTGTGTATCTCTTTGGGAGATATAGTTGGGACAGAAGCTTGGAATGTTGCCCACTGATCTAAGCTTTGTTTCCTCTTAATCACATGACCCACAATAGGACTATCATTAAGGGCTAAAAAAAGACTTCTGGAAACCCTTTCCTCACACTTTGCTACTTGGTTAAAGAAGTCTAATTTCCATTTTAAATTATTTTCCCCCTCTCACTCCCATCTTAACCTTAAAAAATATACTGTACACTGTGATCACATAGATCATATACATTCAACTTTTAGGAATGGGTAATCAGGCTTTAACGAATAAGCGCTTAGCATTAAATACTTGATTTTGTTTTTAAATGCTTTGCTTGGAATTCTCTCCCTACCAATAGCCACTCAGGTTCCATTCCACCATTATGAATGGAATAGGTGTGGACGAGCATGACTCTGAGAGTGCTGAAAATTGAACATTCTATACAGGTAGTTCTCGCTTAACAATTGCCGCTCAATAACCTTTCAAAGTTACGATGCATTTCAAAATAGCTGCTTAATGACTGCTGAAAGTTATGATGGACTTCAGAAAAGCTATTTATGACCCTCCTCCAAGTTATGACTGCCGCACTCTGCTAGAGTCACATGATTGCATTTTGAGTGCTTGGCAACTGACTCGCTTGTATAACCGGTTGCAGCGGCTTTCGGTCATGTGACCACAATCTGCCATGGTTTTTTGCCATTTTCTAGCAAAAAAATGGCAAAAAACGCCCATCCGATATATGCTAGATTTGTTTTATGACCCCGGTTCACTTAATAACTGTGATTGACCCACTTTATGATTGTTGTAAAATGGTCATAAAATCAAGTTCGGTCATGTGATGCCTCAATTTATGACAGCAATGACTTATGACCAAAATTCTGGGCTCCACTGTGGTTGTAAGCCGAGGACTACCTGTACATCACCCATTCTATTCCTGCCTTTCTTCTGCAGGCACAAGCAAGTAACCATTGCCTGGGTAATCAAGATCAGCTGGACTTTCCTTTTCTTGCACCCCATCTTCTTCTTCGGTGGGAACAGGTATCTGGCCAGAGTTGTGGCTGTGTTGGGCAAACCGATCCAGCAAGAGCTGCCTAAGAAACATGATTGGAATGGGTAGAGCAGCCACAATGATCAGACTAATGAGAAGGCCCAAGGCCCATGGTGGGTATTCCAGCTGTTCCTCCTCTGCCTGAAATGGGAAGGGAGAGAGTAAATTTTAGATGCATTATCTCCCTTTTACATCAGGCCTCTTCTGTACATTCCCTGATTGTGTCAACAAGAGAATTCAGTGGAAAAAGATCTTCTCCGCATGCTGCTCCATAAGTAAGCCATAATATGATGCATTTGTTTGGGCTTAACAATCTGAACTGTATATATGATCATTAAGAATTGTGCATTGCTTCTGGTGGCACCGCAGGCTCTGACAGACGCTCCTCTTGGACCATCAGCCCCGCGATTTCGTTAAAACTGCCAAGACAACGCAAATCAGCTGTCTGGCGGCTTGGAAACCTTCCCCTTGGGAGAAGAGAGGAAGGCGAGCAGCCGACTAAGGTAGAGCTCCCCAAAAGCCCTAGGAGTAATTCTGGGGCTTGGAGGGTGAGAGCTCCCTGGTAGTTCAACTGAGCTCCGAATCCGAGGCTTTTCTGCTTCAAGCAGAACAAGACGCCGCGACCACCCCTGCAATCAACATTCAGATTCAAAATAAGCTTGAAGCAGGCAGAACAAAAACAGAAGTCCTAGCAACTGCAAGTACTGAACTTTAACTCTGTGTCTATACTTCTTCCTTCTAAGACTTTTAAAACGAAAGCAAAAATGGTGCCTGAACTGTAACGGCGTGAAAGTGAAAGTTATAGTGAAAGTGATAGTTAACATCGTTAGCGCTTCTAAGGCTGTTTAAGATTATTGGATTCTACACCAAAGAAAGAAAGATTTAAAGTGGAAAGACTACAGTTTGGACTTTAAATAAACTATAATACTTACAAAAGATTTAAAAACATTTGGACTTATTGATTTGGTTGCTGTAGGAAGTATAAATTGAAAGCTAAAAATGGCTTCTAAGCAAATAAAATCTGGCTTTAAAAGTGCTGGAGGATCGCCAGCACAACCACCAAAATTACAATCTTTGTCTACTTCAAATCCACAAATATTGACTTTGGAAGTTCTACAGGAATCACTGCAGGACGCTTTGAAGCAACAAACTTCTTTTTTAGAGGGGAAAATTAAGGGAGTGTCTGAAGAAATGGCTGAAATTAAAGAAGTTATACGAATTCGGAATAAAGAAATAAGAGAAGACATAGTAATGGCATTTCAGGGTCTGGCAAAACACATTGAATTGTTGGATGAAAGAGTAAAAGAAATTAATCAGTCCAATTTGAATTTGGAAAATAAAATGGATAAAGTTCAGACTAAGGTGGATAGGGCAGATGATGAAGTGGTGATGTTACAGTATAGAGCGATAGAATTTGCTCTGAGAGTAAGAGGTTTGAGAGAACACAATCGAGAGAACTTGAGAGAGATCTTTGCAGAGGTTTTTGCAAAGATAACTGGGGAGCAACAAGCAGATCTCTCATTGCAAATTGACAAAATATATCGTATTAATTCCTGGTTTGCCAGACAGAATCAATTGCTAAGAGACATTGTGATTTACTTTACAACGAGGAGGACCCGAAATGAAATTTTACAAGCTTTCTATAAAAATAAACTTCAAATTGCAGGACAAGAGGTTTTAGTGCTAAAAGAAATTCCCCCAAAAATGTTGAGAAGCAGAAAGGAGTTTGCTTTCTTGGTGGATGAACTTAGAAATCGACAGATTCAGTTTAGATGGGATGTTCCAGCTGGACTGGTGGCGAATTATATGGGAGAAAGGTATCGCCTTAACACAATTTGGAAGGCAAGAGATTTTTATACTAATGTATTAAAGGCTGGATGTGCACTATCTCAGGAAATGAGGAGAAGAAAGGAAGAACTGGCAATACAGGGACAGAAGGAAAGTAAACAGCCACAAGCTGCAGGAGAGACCTCGCTTATTGAAGAAGATTTATTAATACTGATTATAAGATTTTTGCTAAAATACTAGCAAATAGGTTAATGGTAATTATGCAACAAATGATTCATAATGACCAATCTGGATTTATAAGTGGGAGACAAATGAAAGGTAATGTAAGACAAATTGTAAACTTATTGGAATATCTGTAAAGGAACAACCAAGTCCCTGCAGCGCTTATCTTTTTGGATGCGGAGAAGGCATTTGATAGATTGAATTGGCAATTTTTATTGAAAATAATAGAAAAGATGCATTTTGGAGAATACTTTACACAATCTATTAGGGCAATATATCAGAGACAAACAGCACAAATAATAATTAATGGTGGTTTAACAGAAACTTTTAAAATTGAAAAAGGAACAAGGCAGGGATGCCCTTTATCACTATTATTGTTTATTTTAACTTTGGAACCATTACTGAATAAAATACGAGGGTCAAATAAAATGAAGGGAATTAAAATTAGACATCATGATTATAGATTAAGAGCATTTGCGGATGACTTGGTTGTTACTTTAACCCAACCAGTACAATCAGTTACAGGCTTACTTGATATAATTATCCAATATGGTCAAATGTCTGGATTTAAAATAAATAAACAAAAAACAAAGATAATAGCTAAAAATATGACGGTAAAGCAAAAAAGAAGAACTGGAAAGACTAACAGGATTTGAAATAGTAAAAAAGGTTAAATATTTAGGGGTCTATATTACAGCCTCAAATGTAAAATTATATAAAAATAATTATGAATTGCTATGGTAAAGAATTCAGAAAGAGATGGAAAATTGGGGGAAATTACAATTATCTTTGTTGGAGAGAATAGCAGCAATAAAAATGAATGTTTTACCTAGGTTTTTATTTTTGTTTCAAATGATACCAATACTTAAGAAAGATGATAATTTGAGGGAATGGCAGAAGGGTATTAATAAATTTGTTTGGGCAGGGAAAAGACATTGAATAAAGTTAAAAATAATGCAAGATATACGTGAAAGAGGAGGTCTTAAAATGCCTAATCTAAGATTATACTATGAAGCAGCTGTCCTAACAATAATTAGTGACTGGATTAATTCAACAGAAGAAAGAATATTGAATATTGAAGGATATGATTTGTTATATGGCTGGCATGCTTACTTATTATATGACAAAAAGATGGATAAGACCTTTAAAAGCCATATACTAAGGAATGCCTTGTTACGAGTTTGGAAGAAGTATCAATATAAGTTAAATTATAAGATACCTATATGGGCAATACCCAGACATGCGACAGAGAATATAAGTGTAGAACAAAAGCAAGAGGTGATTACCTATAAAGAGCTTCTTAAAATGGAAGGGGGTATATTGCAGTTAAAATCTATAAAGGCATTAAAAGAAGAAAAAATAATTCAAACTTGGTTTCAGTATGGACAGTTGCAAGCTAGATGGAAAGAAGACTAGAGAATTCGTATCATGCAGAAGGAGGAAAATTTGGTAAAACAAATTAGAGATCAAGGTCAAATGCATATAAAAAGATTATATAATATACTGATAGAAATAGACTCAGAAACGGAATTAGTTAAGAACTGCATGATAAAATGGGCACAAAACATTCAGGAACCAATGATGATGGAAACTTGGAAAAAATATGGGTTAGAAATGTAAAATTTATGCACGCACAAAATTTAAGAGAAAATTTTTATAAAATGTTTTACGGATGGCATTTGGATCCTAAAAAGTTGGCTTGTATGTATCCGAATTTGCAATCTAAGTGTTGGAGATGTGATTGTGATGATGCTACTTATTATCACATATGGTGGACTTGTAAAAAAGTTAAAGCATTTTGGATCAAAATATGGTGGATTATCCAAAATATTCTTAAAAAGAAGATAAAGTTTACTCCACAATTGTTTTTGTTGGGTATAATCACAGATTGTATGGTTATAGAGACTAAATTGATTTTAAATTTAATAACTGCAGCTAGACTTTTGGTGGCGCAATACTGGAAGAAGGAAGAATTGCTTACTGTTGAAGAATGGACATTAAAAGTGGCAAATTTGGCAGAAATGGCGAAAATTTCAGCATATTTGAAAGATCATTCACAAGAAAGATATATATCAGAATGGAGAAGATGGATTGATTATATTCAAAACAAATATCGAACTAAAAAGTATCAAATAGCTTATGAATGAATAGAAAAGTTAAGAGTATGTATATTTAGTTAAGTAAAAGGCGAGTTAAAGTGTCAAGGGGGAGATAAGAATCTGTGTAGTTAGTAACTTAGCTTAGCATATGATTGTTAATTGTTTTACCCTGTATTTTGTTCTGGGAAGTCCGGGGGGTGGGGGGTGGAGGGGAAATATTTGATTTTTTTTTCTTTTTTGTAAAACTTTTCAATTAAAAAAAAAAAAGAATTGTGCATTACTATTTGTAATATTTTTCAAATTATATCTAAGCAAAGATGCAATACTATGTAAATAATATGTAAATAACATGTATTTATATATTAACACCATGGAACCGAAAAATGTTGAATTGTATTACTATATTTCATAACAATCTGAACTGTGTGTTTGTTGTTATTTTTTAATTCTAACTGAAGGTTAAGGCTAAACATATTATGTGAACCCACACTTTAAATCAGAGGTCCCCAACCCTGGGGCCTGAGCCCAGTACCAGGCTGTGGCCTGTTTGGAACAGGGACGTGGAAGTGACAGGTGAGTGTGTGCCTGCAGCTCAATTTGTACAAGCAGCAGGCGTGCATGCCCACCACTTGCGCAAATGGAGCTGCATGCACGCATGCATTTGCCTGCTGCTCACAAGGAACCATCCCTTCCCTCCCACACCCGCCAGTCTGTAAAGCCGGAAAGACTGGAGACGACTACTTTAAACAGTCCCTAGATTTCATTTTATTTTTGTTTGTTTTCAAACAGAAGACAAGCAGGCCAAGTGCAACGCATGAAACACAAGAGGAGATAAAATTTCTTACCTTTTCTCGGTTCCAGGCGGTGTAGGTGGGGCGTTTCATGACCAGGTACACCAAACTCGCTAGCAACAGGCACAACATTGCTGCCAGACTCACAAAGCGCCACATGTAGCTGTAGATTTTCCACGGCCGCCAGCCCAGCATGTTTTCTATGTCATCCAAGAACCTACAGAAAGAGAGACATACAGGCAAAAGTAGCAGAGAGCTGAACAAGATTGTTTGCGCAATTTTGCCGATTGCCGATTAAACCAGCAGTGAAATGCTACTGGTTCACGCGAACCGGTAGTTTAAAAAAAAGCTACCAGTTCCTTCAAACAGGTATTTTCGATGATCAGTTGTGCTGCGCAATTTAAAATCGCTAGAAAGCAAGAAATCATGCTTTCTAGTGAATCTAAATGGTGCGACACAGCTGTTCCCCTCCCTCGCTGTTCTATTTACCTTCCCAAGCCTCCTTTTTCCACGCAAAGCGTGTGTTTAATGCATACTACGCATGCACGCAGTGTGCATTTGTGTACAGTGTGCATGTGTGCACAGCATGCATTTGGCATGCACCGTGCATGTGCGGGCAGTGAACTGGCGGCAAACCGGGGAAGATTTCACCACTGGATTAAACCCCACCTTTCTTTCTCCAACTTCCCACCACACAAACAAATTGGAAACATGCAGGGATCGGAGGAAAGGTAAGAGAATTACCTGTCAGCTCCATAGACCCAGCCTATGGCAAAAGCTTCGCCGGCTACAACAATAAGCAGGGGCAGAGTGGCTGAATAGTCATCAAACATAGTCACAAAATAGTTGCCTGAGCCTTGAACAAAAATCAAGCCCAGCAAGAATCCAATCATGCAGCACAGGACTGTAGGGAGAAAAAACATAAAAAAATATTGGCATGAACAGGTACCTGTCAGAATGTCTGGATCAGTACAGACAAAAGAGAGATGCCATTGCTATTTTTATTTAGCATCACAGGCATGATCAGAGAGTCATAAGCAGCATAACATACACGTGGCAGCATTTTTTAAAATAGGAGATGCTATCTGGATCACAGCTAAGGGTAACGTAGGCATGTAACCATTATTTTAATGGCCTATTGTCATCAGATATCTACAGCCAGTAGATATCTCCATCAGAGAGCCTATGTCAAACAGAGTTGTGAGCAAAATGCAAGGTGGCTGAGCCCAACTACTTTGCTGCAGTCTTCCCACAGAAGTTACAGCATGACAGAAGAGGAGCAAGAGTACAAAAGAGCTGTGGGACCTGGAAGAGATTGACATCTGGGGACAACAACCAGCTGCTTGGTTTTTTTAAGCCCAGGTTTGGGATGCCTGCTGGTTATATAAGCTGGGATGGAGAAGATACTATCAGATCTCTTGCCCAAGATTCAGAAAACATGGTACCAGCCCAAAGGAAAATATAGAACTGGAGGCCAGACTAGGATTATGTTATTTGAAGTGATGAAATGTAAAATTTGTTATTACCGGTTCTGTGGGTGTGGGTTGGTGGGGGTGGGGGTAATGTGACTGGGTGGGCGTGGCCAACTCTTTTTTTTTTTTTAACTTTTCAAAGCATTTTTTCTAATGCTTTGAAAAGCCTCTGGCGATCAGGCAACTCAGCTGGGATCGTCAGAGAGGCTTTTTAAAAAATTCTTTGAAAAGCCTCTCTGCCGATCAGGCAACTCAGCTGGGATCATCAAAGACTTTTCAAAGCATTTTTTTTACCACCTCTTCGGCCAAGAGGTTGCAGAAAAAAATGCTTTGAAAAGCCTCTGAGGATCCCAGCTGAGCCATGCGATCATCAGAGGCTTTTTTTTTTTTTTTACTTTTCAAAGCATTTTTTCATCGGAAGATGTTGTAGAAAAAATGCTTTTAAAAGTAAAAAAAAAAAAGCCTCTGATGATCATGCGACTCAGCTGAGCATGTGGGGGGGGAGGCGGGCGCAGGGATTTTTGCTACCGGTTCTCTGAACCACCCGCCACCATCACTAGCGGATTGGGCGATCCGGTCCGAACCAGGAGCATTTCACCCGTTATATACCAATCATCTTCAATATACAAGCATTTATTTAGCAACCGTTTGAAGTTACAACAGCTTTGAAATAGAATGTTTTACGACAGGTTCTTGCACTTATGCTCATCGCGGCATCCCCAGTCATATGATCAAATTTGGGCACTTGGCAACCAATATGCATTATGTATTTATAATGGTTGCTGCGTCCACGGTCACATGATAACCACAATCACTCATACCTGTCTTCCTACAGGCAAAGTCAATAGGGAAAGGTGGATTTTCTTAAGAACCGCACGATTCACTTAACAACTGTGATGATTTGCTTAACAACAAAACAAATCATAAAATTGGGCATGACTGACTTAATGACTGCTTTGCTTAGCAACAGAAATTCTGGTGCCAATTGTAATCATAAATTGAGGATTATCTGCATGTTAACAGAGGTAAAAGCCCAAAATGATGTTTTTTCTCATGAAATACTTTAGAGGGAAAATTCCGATTGCATGGATTTAAAATGAATTGTAGTTGGAGCATTTGCTGTAAAGGAATGCCTGGTTTTTTTGCTTCATTGTGACATAAGAAATATGGAATTTGCATATCATCTTTTGTTCCTTCCTTCCCAGTGTCCTGCATAGTACCAGATTGATTTAAAGATGATTTTATTTTAAAATGCATTCATTGTCCTCTGGCACTCTAAAATAGGGAAATAGTAGCACCCAAATTCTGACCCAGCCATCTGAAGTAACACCATCAACAATCAACATTACTAGCATCCCATTTTAAATGCAACTCATTCTTCTGGAATCTAAAATCCTATCACCTCATCTTGCAGAATATTTTAAATCCTATCACCTGCTTAGCCGCCTATATTCTGTAGAGCAGGCTTGAGGAGAGGGAGGTGCAGCTGGTACTGTCAGCTTTGGAAACCATATGAGGCCGGAGGCTTCCACACTGCCACCATCTCATGTGTGGGAAAGTAGGAGGGGGGGATTTAGTAGAGTGATTGTATTTAGACAAAATAGCATTCTTCCTTTCGGTCAAGGTCAGGAGGATCCTGCCTCTGGAGGAATGGTTGGAGTGATGTCTCGAGATGGGACGGATGGTGATTGGAGCATGTGATTGACTGATGAGTGAGGGGATGGTTTTGGGGGTTTTGATTTACTGAAGGAAAACCCGGAACTCTCAGATTCAGGTTTTCCCAAGATGTGCCAGTATACCTACTCTAATAAATGGAACTTTGAGAAAATGCTTTCTTCAGAGTTTTTAATTGGAGTTGGGGTTTTTCTGGAACACTGACATTAACTCGAATTGTTCCGTGGCCCATGGAGCTCAAAGGGGGCCCATGAAGGGGAAATTTTAAAAATTATTTTACAAAACCAATTTTTTAAAAAGAAAAACAATATTGGATATATAGTTCATACTCTATACTTTGTGTGTATAGCAAAACCGCCTTGCAGTCTTGTTTGACATAACCTTTATTAATCTGAAACTCAGTGAACAGTTATTTATGTAATTTATTGAATTGAATTTCTTTACTTGTTTATTTAAGTTTGCAAGTTTAGTTTCATTTCATTTATGAATATATTTTATTTATTTATGTAATTTATATGCCGCCCTTCTCCCGAAGGACTCAGGGCGGCTTACAAAGAACGGAACAAAAATTACATAAACATTAAAAATCCAATTAAAAATTGATTAAAATTATTTAAAATCACCCCTGCGAATCAGCCCATTTGATGAAAGAGCCACGTCTTCAATTCGCGGCGGAAGGAGAGGAGATCAGGGGCTGTCCTAAGGCCAGTGGGCAGCCCATTCCAGAGGGTCGGTGCTCCCACAGAGAACGTTCTCCCCCTAGGGGCCGGCAGCTGACATTGTCTGGCTGACGGCACCTTGAGGAGGCCCACTCTATGAGAGCACACAGGACTATGGGAGGATGGCAGGAGATGATCCTGCAAGTACCCCGGGCCTAAGCCATGTAGGGCTTTATAGGTGAGCACCAGCACATTGAAACAGACCCAAAGGACCATTGGCAACCAGTGCAGCTCACGCAGGAGAGGTGTCACACGGGAGTAACGAGAAGCTCCTGTAACAACCCGCGCGGCCGCATTCTGGCCTAGCCATAGCCTCCGGGTGCATCCCAAGGGCAACCCCATGTAGAGGGTGTTACAGTAGTCCAACTGAGATGTAACAAGGGTGTGAGTGACCGTGGCAAGGGCATCCCGGTCTAGGAAAGGGCGCAACTGGCGCACCAGGCATACTTGTGCGAAGGCCCCCCTGGTCACGGCTGTCAAATGATCTTCTAAAGATAGCCGTGAATCCAGGAGGACACACAGATTGCGGACCCTTTCTGAGGGAGTAAGAACCTCCCCTCCTATCACAAGTGACAGGACCACTAGATCACGAGATGCCAGTATCCACAGCCACTCAGTCTTGGATGGGGTTGAGTCTGAGTCTGTTTCTTCCCATCCAGGCGCGTACCGTTTCCAGGCAGCAGGACATCACAGAAAGGGCATCCCCAGGGTGGTCCGGGTGGAGATATAAAGCTGAGTATCATCAGTATATTGATGGTACTTCACCCCGAAACCACGAATGATCTCACCTGGCGGCTTCATATAGATGTTAAAGAGCAGGGGGTAGAGAACCGACTCCTGCGGCATCCCACATGTGAGGGACCTCGGGGTGGATCTCTCTCCCCCCGTCCATACAAAATGCGAGCGGCCCAAGAGGTAGGAGAACCACCGTAAAACGGTGCCTCCTACCCCCAACCCCCCGAGTCGCTGCAGTAGGATACCATGGTCAATGGTATCAAAAGCCGCTGAGAGGTCAAGAAGGACCAGGATGGAGGAGCAACCCCCGTCCCGGGCCTGCCAGAGATAATTCACTAGGGCGACCAATGCCGTTTCCGTGCTGTAGCCGCGCCTGAAACCTGATTGGTCCAGGTCCAGGTAGTCAGTTTCCTCCAGGAACTGCGGGAGCTGCTGTGCCATCATGGACTCAACAACCTTCACTATGAAGCGAAGGTTGGAGACTGGACGGTAGTTGTTAAGGGAGTCTGGATCAAGGGTGGGCTTCTTAAGGAGGGGTCGAACCAACCGCCTCTTTAAGTGTGATGGGGAAGACCCCTTCCCTTAAAGAAGCGTTGACAACTTCTTGAATCCAGCCTCCGGTCACCTCTGTGGCTGAAGAAACAAGCCAGGAGAGACAAGGGTCCAATAAACACGTGGAGGCACCCGGTCGACCCATAATCCTGTCCACTTCATCCATCGAAACAGGCTCAAACCCAACCCAGACGTTACCGTCTTTATATTTCATTTCAGTTTATGAATGGTTATGAAATGTCATCTCAAAAATCTGGAGCTCAAGAACGCAAGGAAGAACAGAGACGTGATGAGATTAATAAAAAGGGGCGACAAACACTTTTTCAATTTGGCGTTAAATGCAAAACAAGCGAAACTAATCAAAATGAAACTTTAAATTCAGAACAATGTGAGACAAGTGCAGAACTGAAACAAAGGTCAGAATCACATGAGGCCAGTTTGGATTTTCAAGAAACATCAGATCTCAATTTAAAGATTTAGAGAGACAACTGAATGTTAGGGATGAGAGTACTAGATGAGGGGGCCCATATCAGTCTTGTCCCAGCACTTAATAATCCTCTCTAGGGCCCTGCTGTAGAGTCCAAAGTACCGCAACCTAAAATCTCAGCCCTTGTGGTATATAACACACCCATGAATTTTGGTCTTGCCCCAGAGACTGACTGCCCCTTTGCAGTACCTGTGAAGAGTGTCCGCCGACGCTGGAGGCTTTGGAAGTTGTCCAATAAAGGAGTGATGATTCCTTGCATGTTACCTAACATGGTGCTCAGCCCTAAATTGAGCAACATAAAGAAGAACAGCATAGACCAGAAGGGGGCTGTTGGAAACAAGGTCATAGCTTCTGTGAAGGTGATGAAGGCCAGGCCTGTCCCTTCCACACCCTGAGGGAGAAAGAGAGAGAAATATGGACAATAGGAACTGTAGCAAATGTCAAATTTAAAGCAAATGGAAAACTTAATAGAGTCTTGCCCAATCTGGATTTTTTTCCAGATGTGAGGATTTCAACTTTTAAGATTTCCCCAGCCAGCATTTCCCTAGTTACACATCCAGAAGACACCAAATAGGGTGTCTGGGACAATTCTGGGAGTTGAATTCTGCAGATCTTAAAATTGCTCAGGTTGAGAAACACTGTGCTAAACTGGAAAGTTATGTTTTGACTGTCAAGTCATAATATATGCAGGGCCAATAGTTTGACTTCTTTTTATCCTAAATGCAGCTCTTTGCTTCTTAGGGTGAATTTCAGCCCAGCCATGACTAGGTCCACACACGTCATTCTAATCCATAATTTTGCTATTTTGGTTTTGCTGAACTCAGCCACTCAGATTTATAGATCCTGGTTAATGGTTTAGCAGCATGCTCTTGAATGATCTATAGTTAGCCACATTTGTGAGTCCATCCCTTGTCTACCTATTCACCTTATTCATTTCATCTTCTACACGACAGTCACCAAGTTTCCACTCCTGCAATTGCTTCTTTGTATCATTCCATTGATCCTGATACCAATTGCTGTATTGAGCAGGTGAAAATTCAGACAGATTTGCAGGAAGCAATGCCGAGAGGGAGCCATTGTTCACCAGCTCTGTCAAAAGATCTGCATTTCTGCCAAACAAATAAACATACAGTAGAAAGGCTAGAAAACACATGGACCTCCAAACAGAACATAAAAACCCAAACTCAGTGATCCGGAAGACATTAGACAAAGTTTGGGCAACCAAGGCTTGGAGGCAATATTGGAATTTCAAGAATAAGTTGGGGGACAACACTGGAATTTGATGTCCAACACATCTGGAGCAGTGGTGGATTGCTACCGGTTCACTCCAGTTTGGGCGAAGTGGTAGCAGCAGTGGCAGGAGGCTCCACCCACACACCCGGACATCATTAAATACGATCTGCGCAGAAGTGGTGCACACGCAAACGAAACCAGCACATGCGCACGAGCGAACTGGTAGCAAAGGTAAGTGAAACCCACCCCTGATCTGGAGGGTTCCAGGTAGAGTTTTAACTGTTGCAAGCTAATTGGTGGTGTAGTGGTTAGGATGCAGTATTGTAGACTAACTCTGCCCACAGCCAGGAGTTTGACTGGCTCAAGGTTCACTCAGTCATCCATCCTTCTGAGGTCAGTAAAATGAAGACCCAAATTGTTGGGGTTAATATGTTGACATTTGTAAAGCATTCAGAAAGTGCTGTTAAGCACTATGGAGTGGTATATAAGTCCAAGTGCTGTTGCTATTTTTATGATCACATGCTTACATACAACAAACAATCAATATATATAAATATGTTTTATGGACTGGCCATTAACTCTAATAAGGAATGTCCAATAAGGCAGAGGTGTCAAACTGAAAAAAAGTTCACTCAATCAATTCCAATTTCTCATGAAAGAAAAAGATCTCACAAAGTTGGAATTGATTGTGTGAACTTTTTTTTTTAGTCCCACAAACATGTTTTCCTGCACAGGGTGGTGAGAAGCATGATAGAGAAACGTGACGGAGCTGGAAATCAGATAAGCAAAGAAATGCTTGGGGCAAGTGAGAGCCTGGGCAGTGGTAGGTGGGGCAAGCTGGCCTGGGCGGTGGTGGGTGGGGCAAGCTCTGAGGCATGGTGCTGCAATGGCAAAACAGGCAACGGAGTGGCCCTCTCTTCTCCCCGCTCCTCCTCCTTCCCTCATGTTGGCTGCTCCATTTCTCATTTCTACATTACAGTGCAGCGCTCAGGATCCACTTAGATGGGGGGGGGGAAATAATTTGCCTGACCAAAATAACCCCGCAGTGTCCCCTGCATTGGGCTCAGCTTCGATCGGGGTTGGTCGGTGGCTCCATCAGCAGCAAACGAAACAGCCCTATCGTGCTGCGTCTCCTCCTGCCGCCAAGCACGCCCAGCCGTGCGTGGCCTTTCCTCTGCCTTTCTTTCCCTCACGGATCGTGATGGACAAAAATACAACGAAGCTGCCCACTATAGTCAAGGCCAGCCCCGCTAAACAAGTAGCAGCCACGGTGGTGGCGGAGCGTAGGACAGAGAAACAAAGGGTATAAATTGTACATGTACTTTTCAGCCCAAGACAATCCTAGGATTTGCAATCCTTGGGAGAAAGGTATTTGGGGGGAGTGGGGGAATAAGCATATTTCTTTATTGGAACCACTCATCAGACAAAGAAGCAGAAGAAAAAAAGCTATCTGGTCTCCATACAGTGGATTCAAAGCATTCCTAATGTTGTCTTTTCCTGCAAGATACAGGCCATGTACCAATAGCTTTGCCCTCCCCACTTTCTTGTTTTGGGATAAGAAAATGAAGATTAAAAACCAAGAAATGATATTACAAAAGTTTTTCTTTTTAGCTGTTGCTAAACGTATTTCAAAAGCAGAAGAAAAAAAACCTGAAGAGGCCTAAAAGTGCATTTATCACATTTTTCTTAGAACAATTAGCTGAACTCTGCATTGTTTATCATTATTTTAGGTAGTAAAACTTCAGTATTCAGGTTAAATTACCGTGTTGGCACTTTGCGATAAATAAATGGGTTTTGGGTTGCAGTTTGGACACTCGGTCTCTAAAAGGTTCGCTATCACTGGCTTACATCCTGCAACAATACCTTTTAAAACCATCCAACAACATTGGCCCATCCCAAATCCTTGGGAAGGACTTGATAGGTAGATTAAAATGCCAAATGTAGTCTAAACATCTGGTTGACTGTGCAATGAACCATAACAATATCCAGTTATTTCCAGGCATAACTGGGAATAATACCTAATACTATCTCAAGCTGTGAAATGCCCTGCCTTTCTCATAATTAGCATGAAGGCGACAAAGTCAGTCAAGCCATTTTAACTGCAAGATAGGTAACAGCAATGGGTACTATAAATCCAATATGCCACAAGAAGGAGGGATGGCTGAAAGATGCCCATTTTTCTGGGAGTAAATAAGACTTGTCCCACTTATATCTGATACACGTGGAGCCAAATAGCCCAGCCAACTTAGGACCTACCTTCTGCTATTACACCTCCCCTTCAGTACTTGAAAAGGGGTATCATATCCCCACTCAATCCTTTCTTGCAGGACTGATCATAGCACTTAGACTTATATACCGCTTCACAGTGCTTTACAGCCCTCTCTAAGCGGTTTACAGAGTCAGCATATTGCCCCCAACAATCTGGGTCACCATTTTACCCACCTCGGAAGGATGGAAGGCTGAGTCAACCTTGAGCCAATTAGGATCGAACTCCTGGCAGTGAGCTCAGTTCACCTGCAATACTACATTCTGACCACTGCGTCACCAAAGCTCTTAATTGCATTTATCCTCCTTTAACCCACAGTTAGGTGGACACTAACCTTACAACACAGTTGTGTGCCAATACATTGGCTCGGAAACCCAGCACGGCAAAAACCACCAGTGTGGCCAACACCGAGGTAAGGAAATTGATGCCAGACACAAGCAACCCATCGATGTGACAGTTGTTATGCTGAGGATTGTAGCTGGAGTAAGCAATGATGGTGCCGAAGCCCAGGCCCAGAGCAAAGAACACCTGGGTGGCTGCCTGACGCCAGACCTGCATATCTCCCCAAATGGACAGCTTGGGGAGTGGGGAAAGGTAAGATATTGTGAGGAAGGGACAAAAGGCATCATTTCGTATTTCTGCACCTCTGGCCCTTTTCTCATGTGCTGAAAGGCATAAAAAAAACCTCAAGATGTTTTGGTCATCTCATGACTGGACTATACCATGCATTACACACAGGATTGCCCTTGAAGACTATCTGGAGGCTACAGATAGTCCAGAATGTGGCAATATGGACAGTTATGGACAAGCCCATGTAATACCCCTGCTTCATGAGTTGCACTGCAGGCCAGCAGGCCTCCGAATGCAATTCAAGGTGTTGGTTATCATCTATAAAATCCTATTTGGCAGTGTTTCTCAACCTTGGCACTTTGAAGATGTGTGGATTTCAACTCCCAGAATTCCCCAGCCAGCTATGTTGCCTGGGGAATTCTGGGAATTGAAGTCCACACATCTTCAAGGTGTCAAGGTTGAGAAACACTGCTATATGGGATAAGAATTGGATTTTGAGGGATTGCCTATTTCTGCCTGGCAGAGCTAGCAAACTCCAAGTCCCGTCAATTAAACAATGTCATCTGATGGGACTCATCTCTGACATGAGATCTATATTATAGAACACCATCCCAACCTAGGTTTATTTGACTCCTGTCCTCACTGCAGGATTGTTTAAATGAGCCTTTAAAACCTGACTCAGTTCTCAGGTCTTAGATTAGAACAGATGTTGGGCCCCTAGTGGGATGTTTTCTTATTCAATTGATCTTAATTTTCTCTGGACTTCCTTTTGGTTGACATAAGTCATTTTTCTGTACAGCAAAAGCGCTGAAAAAAGTGCCTAATTTTAATGGTGTGAAGACATCTTGGCTGCAGCATTCCCATGGTTACATCATTAAAATTAGGGCACTTTGCAACCAGTATGTATTTACAGCAGTTCCAGAAGTCATGTGATCGCTATCAGCTGACTTCTGACAAGCAATATCAATGGGGAAGCCGATCAGCTTAAGGATTGCATGATTCCCTTAATAACTGCAATAATTCCCTTAACAGCTGTGACAATAAAAACTGTAAAATGGAGGCGACTCACTTAATAACCACTTTGCTAAGCAACAGAAATTCTGCTCCCAATTGTGAATATAACCCGAGGACTACCCATACTTCAAAACCAGGATGGCGCCCAAGGCTGGAATCTCTTACCGTAGGGGTGAACATGATCTTGATTCCATCAACTGCCCCTTCTAACAGCAAAGCACGTACTAGGAAGCACAAGAGAACCAAGTAAGGGAACAGAGAACTGAAATACAGAACCTGGGATGGAGAGAAATAATTTACATAATCAATAATCAATAATTTACATAATCAATGTCAATAATTTACATAATCAATGTAAAAATCAAGGTGTGGCGAGAATCATGCTGGCCGACGGCGCACAAGGGTAACATTTTGTTTTCATGTTTCTGTAGCTTCTTTTCTACAAATGTATGTATGTATGTATGTATGTATGTATGTATGTATGTATGTATGTATGTTTTATTAAACTTATACAGGCAGTCCTTAACTTACGACCACATTTGAGCCCAAAATTTCTGTTGCTAAGTAAAACAGTTGTTAAGTGAGCTTGCCCCATTTTATGGCCTTTCTTGCCACAGTTAAGTGAATCACTGCAGTTGTTAAATTAGTCAAATTAGATTCACTGTTGTTAAGTGAATCTGGCTTCCCCATTGACTTTGCTTGACAGAAGGTTGTAAAAGGGGCTGCAACGGTCGTTAAGTGTGAAAACTGGTCATAAAGTCACTTTTATCGGTGCCGTTGTAACTTTAAACGGTCACTAAACGAACTGTTGTAAGTCAAGGACTATAGGTATAGCTGCCCATCTCATACACAGCGACTCTGGGCAGTCTACAACATTAAAAATCCACACTTAAAAATTCACAGTTCTCTTCATTCAGTCTATAATCCAAATTATTTGGTTCCCCTTCTTATGCCTCTTCTTCCCCTTCCTTCCCAATTCCCTTCCTCCCTGAAATCCCAAAGTAAATGCAAATTTCCTCAGCTATAAGATCAGCTAGTGAAGATGAAAATGTGGTCCACAGTATCTAGAGCAGTGTTTTTCAACCTTGGAAGCTTGAAGATGGGTGGACTTCAACTCCCAGAATCCCCCAGCCAGCGCTGCTGGCTGGGGGATTCTGGGAGTTGAAGTCCACCCATCTTCAAGTTACCAAGGTTGAGAAACACTGATCTAGAGGTTGCTAGATTGAGGAAGAGAAGACAACTATATGCAAGGTAATGGTTGGGATGTCTATTACAGGTAGTCCTCAACTTACGACCCATCATTCAGAAACTTTCTGAAGTTACAACAGACCTCCCTAGGGCTACATAGCCTGGATTTGAAGTTCTGGTGCCCCCTCCCCCCCCCCCCCCCCAATCAAGTGATCATATAGTAGACGTTCAGCAAGCAATCTACATTTGCAACAGTTTTCAGTGTCCTGAAATCATGTCACCATGATTTACAACTTTTTTGCTGGAAACCAGCATTTACTTCCAGTTTGCAGCAAAAAAAAAAAAAAAGGCCATTGCAAACAATGGATTTACTTAATGACTCAATGAACCCTTAACTGCTGCAAATCAGATCGTAAAGTGGTGTCCCGCTTAATGACTGAAATGGTTTATGGCCATAATTTAGGGCTCAGTTACAGTTGTAAGTTGAGGACTACCTGTACAGTGGTGAAATGAACTTACCTTCACTACCGGTTTGGAAATGTGAGCGCGTGCATCTCTTCTGTGCATGCACAGAGGGTCAAAAATGGGATGTAATGACATCCCGGCGGGTGGGCAGAGTCTCCCGCCGCCGGCCCTACTGGCTCGCGTGAGCTGGGTAGATCCCGCCAGATTTCACCGCTGTACCTGTATGAAGTTTCTGAGCGAATATTTTTGTGTTAAGACAGAAGAATGGACACAACCCACCTTGCCTGATGATTTAATGCCTTTGATCATGGCGAGACAAACCAGCAACCAAGCAGCAAAGAGGCAGCCAGTAAGGGCTGGGTCAAGACCCCCACTCTCCTCTATGGAGTTGGTAATGTGCAAGGCCTTTCGGTTCCAGAAATAGATAGTGGGAGAACTGTCCGTGCATTCAGATTCTGTGACTGAAAAGAGAGCGAGAGGGAGAGGAAAAGAAAAAGAAATAGAGAGTCTGTTAGGGTTAAGGATAAATGACCAGCTTTTCCTTTTTCAATGATGTTGTAATAAAGAAAACAGGACATTTATTTTGGAATATTGTGGATAAAGTTCATGCGTGTCTAGTACATTTAAATATATTGATTTCCAGGATGCCTCTGGAAATCTATCCCAAATGGATGTTTCTTTTTCTCATTTCATGGCAATTCCATGTTATTTTAGAACTGTAAAGGTTACAAAACTGACTTTAGCAAGTACAGAAAATATGAGCAAAGGGCAGATTCATTTGCAGTTTTTCTTTCACTAGCCAGCCAAATATATAAATGCAGAAGTATTTTCAGAAAAGGCAATGAGGGTTTTTCCATTTTGAGGCTTGTATCCTTTAGTATTCAGTTCCTGCATTGTTTGCACTTGAAATGTTCGGTAATTTGATGCATTCAAATGTATTTTCCCAGACTGCAGCTATGGCGTGCTTTTCGGCATGCAGAAAGTCTCAATTTCAAATTATAATCTATTTCTTGACACCTAAGCAGGGTTGGGAAAGATTCTTCTCTGGGAATCTGCAAAGACTGATTCTCAGCATTCCTAAACAAACCTTGACAGCCCCAAACAATCCACGCTGAAAAATGGAGTTGGCAAATGGTTTATTTCAGCTGCAAGGTAGCTCCGAGGCAACACTAAATTACATTAGTTTAAAGTTGGCGCTGAGAGCAGTCGCCTCTCTGTGCTTTTTATATGTCCGCACAGGCTCCACCCGTCCCACACACATAATGAACAGCTGAGCTAGTCTCAGCTGATCGAGGCATTCAAATGGGCTGCCAATTATCCCTGCGTCGGCCCGTGATGTCATTAAACACTGCTGTCGCCTCTATTCGCCTGTGATCCTCCACTGCCTCCATTCGCTGCCGATCCTTTCCTCGACGTGTCTGATCGCCTAACACCCGGTGTCACCATCACCAACCGCTGTGAAGAGCTTCCCCATTTCAGCTTCCAGATAGCTTGAGTTTGCGTTCCCATGGCCTCCTCTTCACCTCCCATATGCATTGTCGAGCAGGAGACTGGGCTCGACACTGATACTATTTAGGTGTAAGACACTGGATGGACCAATTGCCTATTTGGATTAAGGTAGCTTCCAATGTGTCTCAAGTTCTTGCAATTTTCCTAAACAATTCAAATGCTGTGCCAATTTTCCAGGGTGAACAGATAAAATATGTTGAGCCTTTTCACAAAGGTAATCAACTATAATTTAAAAAAAAATCTTCCAATGTCTGCTCGTTACTACTTCTTTTCAGAATAAAGAGCAATTTATCATTAAAATTCCTCAGCTTCAGTTCTGAGCTACAAATGCCTGTAAATTTCAAAGTTTCTACTTTTATGTATTTCAAAAGAAATACTTTGTTATAAAGAAAGACAGAGAAAATGTTATAAGGAATATTGTAAAGTCTTCTTCCTTTTCCAGCAGCGGCCAGCTAGGTAACACCCAATCAAAGAAATTTCCTCTCATTTCCAAAGTACCTAAAACAGACAATTTATTTTATTTATTTAGCATATGGGGTTGTACATTGGAAGCCAGGAGTCTACAATGTTATTACAGAATAATAGTTTGGCTACCTTAAGATGATAAGGCTTAACAATAATAAAATCATAACAACAATAAAAGAGAAAGCCATAAATAACATAGCAAGAGATCTTTTTTTAAATAGAACTTGCTTATGACTAAATACTGTAGAAAGAGTTTAGTCCATGGAAAAGACTGCTGACTAATATAGCAAGGTTTACTGTACTATCTAAATGACAAAGATCTGCATGACCACTAGATGGCAGCAGTTGTTTCTGTATCATTTTCATTTTCTTTAATACTGCAATAGTTTTCCAATATTGACAAGCGCATGGATTTCATTTCCCAGAATTCTCTAGCCAGCATGTTGGTGAGAATATTTTGGGAGTTGAAATCCTTTCATTTTTAAAGTTGCCATGGTTGAGAAATATTATTTTAATAGTTGCCTAGATTTTTGCAGTCCAAGTACGGACTTAACAGTGGAGAATCACTGTTAATTTACTTAGACAATTTCTAAAGGATATATAATGTAGAAACTATTATTTAGCTCCTTCTGTATCCAGGATATGACATTTCATGGCACTGGGGGGGGGGGGGGGGAGACTTTTTTTAAGAGATCAAGTTTAATTCCTGGTTATCTGTCAAGAACTCAAAAGATTGCTGTGTTCCAACTCAACCTTCTGGTTTATTTATAATCTTCTATCCCTATATTCTTTCATGGTGGATTAGCAAGATTATACTGTATATGCCCCCCTTCATGGATCAACTGCCTTGTCGTGGCGAAGGGGCTCGCGTAGCTCAATGAAGCTATGAACTATGCCGTGCAGGGACACCCAAGACAGACAGGTCATAGCAGAGAGTTCTGACAAAACGTGACCCACTGGAGAAGGAAATGGCAACCCACTCCAGTATCTTTGCTATCAAAACCCCATGGACAGTACCAAAAGGCAAAGTGTCCAATATGCTGCTGGGGAAGAGCAGAGGGCTAATACTAGTAGCACCAGAAAGAGTGATGCGACTGGGCCAAAGCCGAAAGGACGCTCAGCTGTGGATGCATCTGATGGTGAAAGGAAAGTCCGATGCTGTAAAGATCTATTCTCCATAGGAACCTGGAACTTAAGCTCCATGAATCAAGGCAAGCTGGAGGTGGTCAAACAAGAGATGAAAAGACTGAACATCGACATCTTAGGAATCAGCAAACTAAACTGGACAGGAATGGGTGAATTTAATTCAGATGACCATCAGGTATACTATTGCAGGCAAGAATCCCTTAGAAGAAATGGAGTAGCCTTCATAATCAATAAAAGAGTAGGAAAAGCAATACTGGGATGCAATCCCCAAAATGACAGAATGATCTCAGTTCGAATCCAAGGCAAACCATTCAATATCGCAGTTATCCAAGTCTATGCCCCAACCACTGGTGCTGAAGAGGATGAAACTGACCGGTTCTATGAAGCCCTACAGCACCTTACAGAATTAACACCAAAAAATTATGTCCTTATCATCATGGGGGATTGGAATGTTAAAGTAAGAAGCCAAAAGATAACCAGAATAACAGGCAACGTTGGCCTTGGAGTACAAAATGAAGCAGGGCACAGACTGATATTTTGTCAAGAGAATATGATGGTCAGAGCAAACACTTTTTTCCAACAACCCAAGAGACGACTCTACACATGGACATGACCAGACCACATGACCAGACGGTCAACACAGAAATCAGATTGACTATGTGCTCTGCAGCCAAAGATGGAGAAGCTCTATATAGTCAGTAAAAACAAGACCAGGAGCTGACTGTGGCTCCGATCATGAGCTTCTCGTTGCAAAATTTAGACTTAAATTGAAGAAAGTAGGGAAAAGCACTAGGCCACTCAGGTATAAACTAAATCATATCCCTGATGAATATACAGTAGAGGTGACAAATAGATTTAAGGAATTAGATCTGATACACAGAGTGCCTGAAGAACTATGGACAGAGGTTCACAACATTGTACAAGAGGTAGCAACTAAAACCATCCCAAAGAAAAAGAAATGCAAGAAAGCTAAATGGTTGTCTGAGGAAGCATTACAAATAGCTGAGGAAAGAAGGGAAGCGAAAGGCAAGGGAGAAAGAATGCAGTTGAATGCAGAATTCCAGAGAATAGCTAGAAGAGATAAGAGATAGAAGAGATAAGAATGTATTCTTAAATGAACAGTGCAAAGAAATAGAAGAAAACAACAGAATAGGGAGCATCAGAGATCTCTTCAAGAAAATTGGAGATATGAAGGGAATGTTTCATGCAAAGATGGGCGTGATGAAGGATCAAAATGGCAGGGACCTATCAGAGGCAGAAAATATTAAGGTGGCAAAACTACACAGAAGAACTGTACAAGAACGAGTTTAACGTCCCTGATAACTACAATGGTGTGGTCACTGACCTTGAGCCAGACATCCTGGAATGTGAAGTCAAATGGGCCTTAGGAAGTCTGAGCAACAACAAAGCTAGTGGAGGTGACAGTATTCCAGCTGAGCTATTCAAAATCTTAAAAGACGATGCAGTAAAAGTGGTACACTCAATTTGCCAGCAAATTTGGAAAACTCAACAGTGGCCACAGGATTGGAAAAGGTCAGTTTACATTCCAATTCCAAAGAAAGGCAATGCCAAAGAATGTTCAAACTATCGCACCATTGCACTCATTTCATATGCTAGCAAAGTTATGCTCAAAATCCTACAAGCTAGGTTTCAGCAGTATGTGGACCGAGAACTACCAGAAGTACAGGCAGGATTTTGAAGAGGCAGAGGAACTAGAGATCAAATTGCCAACATATGCTGGATCCTGAAGAAAGCTAGGGAATTCCACTTCTGCTTCATTGACTATACTAAAGCCTTTGATTGTGTGGATCACACAACAAATTGTGACAAGTTCTTAAAGAAAGGGAGTACCAGACCATTTTATTTGTCTCTTGAGAAAGCTAAATGCAGATCAAGAAGTAACAGTGAGAACTGGACACGGAACCACTAATTGGTTAAAAATTGAGAAAGGAGTCCGGCAAGGATACTTGTATACTGTATACTTGTATACTGTCACCCTGCCTATTTAACTTATATGCAGAGCACATCATGTAACTTTGTTGCTTGTATCCTTATGATTTATATTGATATTGATTGTTTCCTAGTATGATTTGATTGCTTATTTGTACCCTACAACTATCATTAAGTGTTGTACCTATGATTCTTGATGAATGTATCTTGTCTTTTTATGTACACTGAGAGCATATGCATCAAAGACAAATTCCTTGTGTGTCCAATCACACGTGGCCAATAAAGAATTCTATTCTATTCTATCATGAGAAAGGCGGGGCTAGATGAAGGAGCCTTGGTGGCGCAGCGGATTAAAGTGCTGTTAAGTAGCACTTAGCTGCCAGCTGCCTGCAATTACTGCGAGTTCAAATCTCACCAGGTTCAAGGTTGACTCAGCCTTCCATCCTTCCGAGGTAGGTAAAATGAGGACCTGGATTGTGGGGGCAATAAGCTGACTTTGTATAAAAAAGAACACCGCTTAGGGGGGGCCAAAAGCCCTACTAAGCAGGTATATACAAAAGTATGAAGGCTATTGCTTAAAAGCATTGTAAGCCGCCCTGAGTCTCCAGAGAAAGGCATATAAATCGAACCAATAAATAAATAAATAAATGGAATTAAGATTGCTGGGAGAAATATCAACAACCTCAGATATGCAGATGATACCACTCTAATGGCAGAAAGTGAAGAGGAACTAAAGAGCCTCTTAATGCGGGTGAAGGAGGAGAGTGCAAAAGTTAGCTTGAAACTCAACATTAAGAAAACTAATGTCATGGCATCCGGCCCTCTCAATTCCTGGCAAATAGATGGGGAAGAAATGGAGGTAGTGACAGATTTTATTTTCCTGGGCTCCAAGATCACCCCAGATGGGGACTACAGCCAAGAAATTAAAAGACGCTTGCTCTTGGGGAGGAAAGCTATGGTAAATCGAGACAGCATGCTAAAAAGCAGAGACATCACCCTGCCAACAAAAGTGTGAATAGTCAAGGCTATGGTTTTCCCAGTTGTAATGTATAGCTGTGAAAGTTGGAGCATAAGGAAGGCTGAGCACCAAAGAATTGAGGCCTTTGAACTCTGGTGCTAGAGAAGACTCTTGCGAATCCCTTGGACTGCAAGGTGATCAAACTGGTCAGTCCTAGAGGAGATCAACCCTGACTGCTCTTTAGAAGGCCAGATCCCGAAAATCAAATATTTTGGCCACCTAAAGAGAAGGAAGGACTCACTGAAGAAGAGCCTAATGCTGGGAACGATTGAGGGTAAAAGAAGAAAGGGATGACAAAGAATGAGGTGGCTGGATGGAGTCACTGAAGCAGTAGGTGTGAGCTTAAATGGTCTCCGTGGGATGGTAAACGACAGGAAGGCCTGGAGGAACGTTGTCCATGAGGTCGTGATAGGTCGGACATGACTTCGCAACTAACAACAACAACACAACAACAACTGTATATGCCTACTTCAAAGCAGATCAGGAGTCTGTCCCTTTTTTGTCCACCCTGACTAACAGCAACTGTCTGTGATTCAAAAGTGTTTTTCTCAGGCCTATTTAGAAATTTTGCATCAAAATCATATGCTTTCCCTTTGAGTTAAAGCATGGTGTCCAGCCTTTTGGCTCCACACATTGAGTAAAGAGAAATTGTCTTGGACCACATATAAAGTATGTAATATAGTTAATGTATATAAATCACACAATAATCGTAAAAGTTTACAATCTTTTGGGAAAGCATTAGTAGCTGTCCAGGGCCACATGTGGCCAATGGACTAGACCGGGGGTCGGCAACCTGCAGCTCTAGAGCCGCATGCGGCTCTTTGGGCCCTCTCCTGCAGCTCCCTGTCAGATGATCCCACCACTGGGTGGCCCCTCCCCTCCTCCTCACTCCTCGCCTGCCCTGAGAAGAGAAGGGCAACTGCAGCGGATGGAGACTTCCTCTATATTCCAGAGTGGGAGTGAAGCGCTTCTCTACTTGCCTCTTTTTCCGGCCCTTGTTGGTGCTGTGCACGCTTTGGCCACTGGGGGAGATGCGTGATTTTGCTCTGCGCCAAAACACTGGCTGGGCCACCCGGCTGCAGCCGATGCAGCGTGTTGTAATGGGCTCCAGGAGGAGGAGGAGGAGGGGACACCGTCTCCCCCATTGTGCAGCGCGCTAAGTTTAAGTGCAAGAGCAGCAAGCAGCCACAGAGGCAGAGAGAGGAATGTGAGGAAACGCGCCCCAACCAGTGTCTCAGGGCGGAGAAAGTTGCACATCTCCCCATGTTCCTTATTCCTTAGCAAGCTGCACAGAGGAGGAGACGGCATCCCCTCCTCCTCCTTCTGGAGCCCATTACGATACAGAGCATCGGCTGGGGCGGCCCAGTTGGTGTCTTGGGGTGGAGAAAGTTGCGCGTCTCCCAACAAGGTTGTTTGCCAGAAAAAGAGGCAAACAGAGGGGCATTTCGTTTCCCCTCTGAAACACGAAAAAAGTCTCCATTCGCCTTCACTGCCTTTCTCAGGGCAGGCAAGGAGTGAGGAGGAGGGGAGGGTGAGGAGCGGGAGGCCCAGCCAGCCGTCAGGGAGCCATAGCAGGGGGATGAAAGAGCTTCTTTTATCTGGGAAAGAAAAAGAGATGGGGGAGAAAGATGAGAAGAGGGAAAGGGAGGGAGAAAGATGAGAGAGAGAGAGAGAGAGAGGGAGAAAAATGAGAGAGAGAGGGAGAAAAATGAGAGAGAGAGGGAGAAAGAGAGATGGGGAGAAAGATGAGAAAAAGGGAGGGAGGGAGAAAGATGAGAAAGAGAGGGAGAGATGAGAGAGGGAGAAAGAGAGAGAGGGAGAAAGAAGAAATGGAGAGAGAGGGAGAAAGATGAGAAAGAGAGAGGGAGAAAGATGAGAAAGAGTGAGGTAGAAAGAAAGAGGTAGAAAGATGAGAGAGGGAGGGAGAGAGAGAGGGAGATAGATAGAGGGAGGGAGAAAGAGATGAGAAAGGGAGAGGGAGAAAGAGGGGGGAGAGAGAGCTGTTTAAAAGAAAATACCTGGAGCCACAGAACCTGGATAGGAATGTCTGGGGGTGTGTCATGTGACTGGGCAGGAGTGAGTGATGTGAGTTGGCCATGCCCACCCAAATTTTGTGGCTCCCGGTGTTGTTTTTTGTGGGAAACTGGCCCAAGTGGCTCTTTGAGTGTTTAAGGTTGCAGACCCCTGGACTAGACACACCTGAGTTAGAGCCAACCTATACAGGTAGTCGACTTGCAACAGTTCGTTTAGCGACCATTCAAAGTTACAATGGCACTGAAAAATATGACGTAAGACCGTTTTTCAGTTACAACCTTTGCAGCATCCTGATGATCATGTGTTCAAAATTCATGGGCTTGACAACTGATTCATACTTATGACTTCTGATCAGCAAAATCAACGGGGAAACCAGATTCACTTAACAACCGGGTTACTAATTTATCAACTGCAGCGATCCAATGAATAACTGTGGCAAGAAAGTTGTAAAATGGGGCAAATTTAAGTTAGCAAATGTCTCACTTAACAACAGAAATTTTGGGCTTAAATTTTGTGGTTGTAAATTGAGGGCTACCTGTAATTGTCAAACCACAGTTGGGACTGATCTACTCAACCAACTCCTGATATTTCAATATCAGTATTCTGAACAGTCTTAGAGGCTGAAACTTAGTTAGGAGGGGAAGAGCTGATTAAACCACTGTTCCACCCCACTTCTCAAGGTTGGAAACGGTGTGGAGGAATCCTTGTTAAAAGCAGCATAATTTTGTGATACAGAGATGCCACAAAAAACCGAAAAGGCCATGAATGGCTGTTGTTTCCTGTGTTTCCACTTACCTGCAGCTGTTTCGTTTTCTGCTCCTGGGCAATCACTCCACGGAAGGGGAAACTGGAAAGAATTACCCAAGTAGAAAAGACTCCATGCCATGATGACATTATAATATAGGGCAACAAAAGAACACACCTAAAAGGAAAGGCAAAAGGAGTCAGCGTTCCACATTATCCCTGAACATGGATACTTATTTTGATGAAGAGGGACCATTTGCAGACAAACTACAGATTATGTCAAAAATGTTTGAAAAGGAATGTGTTTAGAACATGCTAAACTTCTGAAATATTCCTATTTTCCAAAACAGAGATATGCATTTTTTTCAGACCTATGGACTAGCCATTCCAAGCTTTTCTAGGTTGAGGATTACACTCTAAACAGTAGGGAGCAGGCCAAAATAAAACTAAATTAGGTTTGGTTTCATCTATGATTTCATTAATTCAAATTAAATATTTTTAATAAGATAGTTCTCCAGTCATGTGTTCTTTTCCTTCTATCACATCACAAGCAAACACAATCTAAAAACATTTGAAGACGCAGCGGTTGCTAAACAAACCCATTGTTTGCTATGAGTTTTTTTTTATTAAAAACTAGAAAAAACATCAGATTTCAACTTTGCAGATTGTGCTCATGTGATTGTGGGATACTGCAAACGGCTGCAAATACAGGCTCATACAGGCTCACTGCTGAGCACCCAAAATGTGTTCAGATGACCACAGGGAGCCTTCCTGGCTATTGGAACCTCAGAACTAAGCTGGGTAGCCAGTATAATAATAATTTTTTAATAATAATAATTTTATTTCTATACCGCCCTTCTCCCGAAGGACTCAGGGCGGTGTACAGCCAATTTAAAACACAGGACAAAACAATGATTAAAAATTAAAATAATTAAATAGATTTGGCCGATTTAAAACCCCAAAAATTAAAATACCCCAATTTAAAATTATTATGTTGATAGCCCTGCCTGGCGGAACAACAGGGTCTTCAGTGCGCAGCGAAACACCCGGAGGTCGGATATCTTACGTATTTCCGGGGGCAGTTCATTCCACAGGGCTGGGGCTCCCAAAGAGAAGGCCCACCCCCTGGGTGTCGCCAGCCGACATAACTTGGCTGATGGCACCCTGAGGAGACCCTCTCTGTGGGAACGGACTGGTCGGTGGGAGGCTATTGGTATAATTTTGAACTGTTGCAAAACAACCGGTTTATCTTTTTTTAGACCATAAGAGTATGCTTGTAGGTAGCAGAGGGTAAACCAGGGGTGAAATGTTCCCGGTTTGGACCGGATCGCCCGAACCGGTACCGATGGAGGCGGGTGGTTCGGAGAACCGGTAGCAAAAATCCCTGCCCCACCCCATTGCCCAGTTAGCTGTGCAATCATCAGAGGCTTTTTTTTTATTTTTAAAAGCATTTTTTCTACCACGTCTTTGGCCGAAAAAATGCTTTTAAAGTTTAAAAAACAGCCTCTGATGATCGCGCGGTTCAGCGGGATCATCAGAGGCTTTTAAAAGAGCCTCTTCGGCCGAAGAGGTTATAGAAAAAATGTTTTTAAAGGGAAAAAAAGCCTTTGCCGATCAAGCAAGTCAGCTGGGATCGCCAGAGGCTTTAAAAGCATTTTTTTTACAACCTCTTCAGCCAAAGAGGTTGTAGAAAAAATGGTTTTAAAAGTAAAAAAAAAAAAGTTGGCCACGCCCACTAAGTCATATTACCCCCACACACACCAAGCTACTCCCATAGAACCGGTAGTAACAAATTTTACATTTCACCACTGGGGTAAACATTTCCACCCAATAGATAACCTTTATTGTCACTATTTTCTATGAACACATTGACATACATTAAAACAATGAAATCCTGATGCCCACAAGTATGTATTTATATGCATGCATGTATGTGTTTGTGTGTATATACACACACACACACAATGTATGTATCTGCATGTATACGCAAACACACACAATCACAGACCATTTAGAACACGAGTTCCCCAACATTTTCAGCTTTGCAAACCAGCAGGGGGTGGGGAGGTTTGCATAAGCGGCCGATAAGTGTGTGCGCAGCTCCATTTGTACATGCAGTATGTCTGCCTGCCTGCCACTCACACAAATGGAGCATGTGCATATGTGCCTGCCCACTGCTCGCGCAAGTGAAGATGAACATATGCGTGCTGGCCATTTCCATGGTCCAGCTGCAAACCCCTCACAGCCCATTAGTGGGGACCCCTGATTTAGAAAACATAATGGATAAAAAAAGAGTCTTGAGATTTAACAAGGTTGATACTATATGGTATAAAGCTATTATAGAATCTAGTTTTTCTGCTTCGGATGGTGCGAAGCCTCCTCACAGAAGCTAACAAAGAAAAACGGGTGATGGGGAATAGGGAAAATATATAGGCTGTAATCTGCCAAGGATTGCCTGGTGGCAAGACAGGCAGCAAACAAACAAATAGTAAGGAAGTATGTAAGTTAAAAAATAAAAAAGTTCCTTTTGATTACAAGAAAGGTTAACCAGTTGTATTTTTCTCACCGGTAGGTTTATTTTGAAGGGCTTTTTTTTTTCCCCCAAGACATACAAATAAATGTCAGACTTGGAAGAATGGTGACATGGCACTCACCACACAGCTTGCAAAGCCGATGCCTACTAGGCGAGGGCTGATATGTTTCCAGACGCCAATGCTGCCTTGTCGGATAATCTGCCCAGCGGCCAGCTCCAGGAAGAAGAGAGGGATTCCAATGATGAAGAGGAGCAGCAGGTATAAAAGCAGAAAGGAACCTGTCCAACAAGAGGCAACATTTTATGGATTCCAGTCGTTCTGGCAATTATTCCACAAATAACAGTCTCCTGAATCAGGCTAAACTAAGGGGAAAGGTGATGCACCAGTAAACTAGTAGAGCTTTTTTGTTGTTTTAATGTGTTCCTTTAAGTCATTTTGTGACTTCTGGTGACAAGTCCTTGCAATTTTCTTGGCAAGATTTCAGAAGTGATTTGCCATCGGTTTCTTCCTAGGGCTGGCAGAGAGTGATCAGCCCAAGTCACCCAACTGGCCTTGTGCCTATGGTGAGACTAGCACTCAGGGTCTCCTGGTTCCTAGCTTAGTGCCTTAATCACTACACCAAACTGGCTGTAAACAGATTAAGCAGATACGGAGGATCTCGGATATACGCACCTTCCGCCGCGCTCTCAAGACCTTTTTATTCCATCAGGCTGGCCTGGCCTAATTTTTTCCCTTTTTAAAACGCAAATTTTAATTTGTTTTTAATTTATTGGGGTGTTTTAAATCTGTCTTCGGCCAAATTGTTTAATTCGGTTTTATTCTGTTTTTAAATTTTGTATTTATGTGTTTTTATCTTGTGGCTGTTCACCGCCCTGAGTCCTTTGGGAGTAGGGCGGTGTATAAATCAAATAAACTAAACTAAACTAAACTAAACTAAACTAATATAGTTTGTGGATCAAAATTCTGAATGTCTCTTGCATTTATGCCTCTGTCCTCTTTCTGTGCTTTTTTTTCCCCCTTAAGCACCTATTTAACCAGACATTTATATCAGTGGTGAAATCTAAAATTTGTTACTACCGGTTCTGTGGGCGTGGCTTGGTGGGGGGCTGGGGGTGTAATGTGACTGAGTGGGCATGGCCATTTTTTTTTTAACTTTTAAAACCATTTTTTTCTACAACCTCTTCGCTGAAGAGGTTGTAAAAAAATGCTTTCAAAAGGCTCTGAGGATCCCAGCTGAGTTGCCTGATCGTCAGAGGCTTTTTAAAAAAGCCTCTGCCAATCAGGCAACTCAGCTTGGATTGTCAGAGGCAGTTAAAAGAAAAAAAGGGTTTTTTTCTTTTAAAAGCCTTTGACGATCCCAGCTGAGCTGCGCGATCATCAGAGGCTTTTTTTTTTACTTTTAAAAGCACTTTTTAAAAAAAAGAGTCTCCGGAGACTCAGGGCAGCTTACAATGCGTTAAGCAATAGCCTTCATACTTTTGTATATTTATACATAGTCAGCTTATTGCCCCCACAAACTGGGTCCTCAATTTACCTACCTTAGAAAGGATGGAAGGCTGAGTCAACCTTGAGCCTGGTGAGATTCAAACTTACAGTAATTGCAGACAGCTGGTGTTAATCACAATGCTATCAGTCTGCTGAGCCACCAGGCCCTTGTGCCCGAAGAGGTTGTAGAAAAAATGCTTTTAAAAGTAAAAAAATAGCCTCTGATGACTGTGTGGCTCAGCTGGACATGGGAGAGAGAGAGGGGGGGGCAGGTATTTTTGCTACCGGTTCTCCGAACCACCCACCTCCATCACTACCGGATCGGGCGATCCGGTCCGAACTGGGAGCATTTCACCCCGATTTATATCCATATATAAAGCACGGGTCCCCAACCCCTGGGCCAGTCAGGCCACGGCCTGTTCAGAAACAGGTTGTGCAAGTGGTCCTTGCACATGAAGCTCCACTTTTGCGAGCAGTGGGCACACACACTCGCGTACAAAGCTCCATTTGTGTGAGCAGTGGGCTGTGTACACATGCATCTGCCACTCACCCAGAACATCTTCTCTCTCCCCACCACGCCACCAAGCTGGAAAGACTGGTGACCACTACCTTAAAGTTTTGAACCCTTTTAAAGCTGATGAAATGGATCACATGTATGATAGATTTATTGTTACAATTAAAAGATGATTGTTTAAAAATACTGTTTCCAAATGTTTTAGAAAGGGGGATAATTTTCTTTATTGTAAAAAGCATCAATTTGACACAACACTGTTTAGAAACTGAGTGTGTGGGTGATCTTTGGAAGCTTGTTCTGGACAACTAGGTAACTAAAATTGTGAAAATCCAGAGTATCCAATTCTCACACCACAGTATTTAAATGGTAGAGAATGTATTCTGTAACAAATCCACCACTTCGGTTGTCTGTCTGCTTTTGGCCAAACTGCTAAAGTGGTCTATTTGCTATTTCTCAAATTTGCACTTCAACTCAGAAAATCAGTCCTTTTCCATTTACAGGGAACTAATAGATATTACATACATACAGAATAGTAAAAGGATGAAGATACCAAAATTATAACAAGAGCTTTATAAGATGCTACTTCAGAGTCATTTCTGAGAAGTCATAATTTCTTAGAAATAAGGAGAGAATCTTGCAATAGAATCCAAGTCCCAAATTTGGCAGAACTGCCCAAGTCAACTTACCTCCACCATTTTGATGACACAGGTAGGGGAAACGCCAGACGTTGCCAAGTCCAACAGAAAAGCCAACCTGGGCGAGAATATACTGAGCTTTTGATCCCCAGGTAGGGCGGGCATCTGGTTCCTCAGACAAAAGATCTTGATGGGATTCACCCTCAGGATCTCCAGCTACTTCTAGGTCTGCTTTGGATTTCTCCATCAAGGGAGAGTGTGTGCAACCAAACACACCAATGAATATGTGGATACACACTGTGAATGTAGAACTTATGTTCCTTTGACACACCTAAATACTAGTCTCTGCTTGATTAGAAGTGTACACAGCAGATTAGAAGTGTACACAGCAGTTTTCCCTCTTCCCTGATCTTCTTCTTCTTCAAGTGTAGCACTAGAAAAAGCTTAACTACACTCTTCTAAGTGTATGGAATCTTTGCACATTGACAATAGATCCCTTATTTGATAGGAAATGTATGCGCATACGTCAGGTATTTAGTATCTGAAAACAGCTTTTTGCCCTCACACTGTCATGCAACTACAGAGGCACTAGCATGTCCTAAGTATATCTGAAAAGATAAAATGTGTATGTGTGTTATGTGTGCATGTATAGTATTAATACAATACAAGAAGTTTTTGATGATATGTTCAGCACGTATTTCAATGAACTTATCTGTCTTTAGTCATAACCTATCAAATTTGTTTTGGGTCACTGTGTGCATGAATAGCAGAATTTTAAATGAGAAAAAATACTTTATTTGGCTTAATGAACTGCACATGTAATATGATTTATTTATATACGCATGCTGGAGGATGTTCTTCAAGAAGCAAATCTAGAAAAAGAACAGCAACAGAAAGGTTGAACAAATGGACAACCTACCCAAAACAATTAGTTGAAATGTTAAGATTAATTAAGGAGCCACAATCCTGGCTCTAAAACACCAGTTTGGAAAAAACAAAAACGTCCCTCAAATTCAGAGAACTGCCAGATGATTCCTTCCTTTGTATTAGTGTTTCTCAACCTTGGCAACTTTTGACTTCACCTCCCAGAATTCCAAGCCATTGGGGAATTCTGGGAGTTGAAGTCCACACATCTTAAAGTTGCTAAATTTGAGAAACACTGCTCTCTCCCTCTCCCATCCATCCATCCATCCATCCATCCATCCATCCATCCATCTATCTATCTTCTACACACACCAGTGTTACTCTAATAGATCAATGTTTGTCATGTATGTATGTATGTATGTATGTATGTATGTTCGTTCCTTTTTCTGGCCTGGACAAACGAAAGGTGCCTCCAAACCAGGAAATGAAATTTAATTCAAAATGTAGGTTCAACCAGGTTAGAAGTTTAAGGATAATGTCCTCAGCTCAGTTTGCATGTAGCTTGCAGGATGAAGAATGAAAATTGGGCCACCTTCCCAGTGAATTGGTACAGCAAACATAAAAACAACCTAGTCACTGGCCACAAAGGGAACCTGCTTTCAGGATCCAAAAGTAAAACAAGGGAAAAGTACCACTGATATAGTACTGGAGAAAGGACTAAAAGGCACCAATAATTGCCTCAGCAATTACGTCTGAAGAGGAAAATCTTTTTAAAAATTCAGACTGGCCACATCGGGATAGAATGTTCTGTGAAGAGCTTACCAGTTTGTTTTGGCAATATCAAACTGATCTCCCTTCCCTTCTTTTGTGCGTGTAAACTTTTGGCTGATAACCTTGAGGATAGGGCCCATGCCCAATTTTAATTGCTATACCAAAGTAAATTCTGTGGAGCACTGCATTTCTGAATTCTGATGTGAATGTGTAAGAGAGAGGGGAGAAGGAGGTGGAAGGAGGAGGAGAAGGAGAAGAGGAGGATGTGGGGGCGAAGGGGGTGGGGAAGGCGAAGAAGAAGAGGAAGAGAAGGGAAAGGGGTGGGGAAGGGGAAAGGGAAGGAAGAGGAGGAGGAGGAGGAGGAGAAGGAGAAGGAGAAGGAGAAGGAGAAGGAGAAGGAGAAGAAGACATAGTAATACACATTTTTTTGCCTGAAATTGAAGGGAAAGTAATAGGGGAGATAAATCAAGCCCTTGCCTGTTCTGGAACTGTTTTTGGTCCCATATTCAGAAACTTAATAAGCATTCACTTTCATTAAGTGAAAAAAAATGCTTCTTTAGAGCCAAATGTTCCCCAGAACAACATGCTTTTCAACCCTCTTTTTTGGACATGTCTCCAACTTGGTCAGGGAGATTCAAACTGCTTCAAAGTGTGCATTCTTCTTGTCCTAATGGTGGTTTCTAGAATTATTCAAATTGACATAAGCACATATAATTTAGATGCTTTACAAAATGTCCTGGTAAATTTGAAACTTTCTTTTTTTTCTCTCTCTCTAAACAAACAGAATGGCTGTTTGTGGCTGAGAAAGAAAAGCAAGCTCTCATGAAATAGCCGGAGATGGAAAGAGAAAACGTGAGGAAATTCTCCATTTGTCGGGGGAGGGGTAGTAGATTTATCTTGAGGAAAAACCTGGATTTACCATGTTGAATAAAGATATTCATTCATTTTTTTCTACAGACTATTAACTGTCAGAAACACTTCAGTTATTTCTTTTAGTTATAAGAACTAAAAACATTAACAAAAATAAATTATTCAAATCTATTTCCGCTTAAGTCTTTTATAATATAAAGGAGAATACAAAAGAAAAAAGCAGTAGCTATGTAAACCTCATTAAAGGAGATCAAACTCGCCAATCTGACAATGAGATTTACATAGCTACTTCTCGCTCCTTTCTTGTTCTCCTTTATAATCCTAGGCAAACTTCCCTACTTCTTTTCACTTCTGCATATTCTGAGTTAAAGTTTGGTTTCAGATCTGAGTGGAGCACTGAAATAGTTTGGTTGCTATGAATAATGATCCTCAGAAAGTGCTACTATGCAGATTCATGTGGATCTTTTGACATTACTGATCATGGAATATCAGTGGAGTAGTAGCTCTGTGAGTGAGGAGCTGGAGCTGGAATTTTTAAGTTATAGTGGTAGTGGAAAGTTACTCCATCCTCAGCGTGGTTGCACTGTGGGAGCCTTTATTTCAGGGGTGTCAAACTCACGGCCTGTGGGCCAGATGCGTCATGCGCTGGGTACCCCACCCCCATTTTAGTGAAGGGGGAAAAAATAGCAATACATCACGTGACAACGTGTCATTGCGAGTTTCACACCCCTGCTTTAGTTCTAATTTGCTCCTCTGCAATAACCCACAAGGGATGGTCATCTAGACATGTGAAGTGTGACGTCATCCGTGTGCAGATGGTAATCAACTTCCTCCACATACTTTCCCTTCAAACAGGAAGGGCTAACCAGGTGTCTGACAATTGTCTGAAGTGAATGAGGGCTAATAAAATAAAGCTGAATCTTAGTACAGACTGTCTCCGGTTTAAGAACAAGTTCCATCCCTAAATCTTTTTTTGAATTTGTATGTAAGTGGTATTTATGAATGGACTGTTACTAAAAATGATGGAAAGTGTTCTCTTCCCTTGAGCTGACAAACTGTATATTAAAAACGCATGGCTTCAACACTTCATGAAAACACTGCACAGCTTCAATGGTTTATCATCTTGACAAAGAATACCCTCCACCGTTTTTAGTAACAGGCAGTCCATTCATAAGTACCAAGTTTATTTATCCCGTGTTTGATACTTTATAAACAATTGCTTTAAATAAATAATTACTGTGTTTATTACTTTATAAATAATTCAAGGCAGCAAACATACATAATACTACTTCCTCCCCCTATTTTGTCTGTAACTTGGACATTCTTAACTGGGTACTTACTGCCTGAAACATATGGGGGCTCCGGACTAGTGGTGGGTTGCTACTGGTTCTTCCTGGTTCAGGAGAGCCGGTAGAGGAAATCTTGATGTGAGAGCGAACTGGTTCGCCCTGCCCATCAGCTGGGCCCTCCCCCGCCCCGCTCCCCACGGTATATCTACCTTATTCCTTTGTTTTTTGCCCAGCTGCAAGGCACGGCAGAGCGAATTGCCATGCCTCAGCTGTATTTTAATTGAATGCACTTGCATGTAGCGCACATGTGCAAAGCACATGCGCAAAGCGAACCGGTGGTAACACCGGTTAGAACCCACCACTGCTCCGGACAGATGATTCTTCAGCTTAAGAATAAGGAAGGTAGCCTGATCTGAATGAAATGTCATTCCTGCTAAAGCAAGAGTCTCCAAACTTGGCAACTTTAAGACCGGTGGACTTCCAGAATTCCTCAGCCAGCCATGCACAAGTCTTAAAATTGCCAAGTTTGGAGATCCCTGTGCTAAAAGAGCATACACATAGCCTGGGCCTAATCATCTCACAACAGGATTGTTGTCATATAGTCTATAGGAATGTTCTTTTTAGGACAGAGAAATTCCAGATGGTGCAGCATGCAACTACTCCATTGGTAAATGGAATATAGGACCATACAATACCAAAACTGAAATTGCTTTCTGGAGCCCAAGTGATGATACTGACATTAGTCTGTAAAGCTCTAAAAATCAGGATTATTTAATTAAGCATTATCGGTCAATCCTGAAGGAAATCAACCCTGATCGTTCTTTGGAAGGACAGATGCTGAAGCTAAAGCTCAAATACTTTGGCCACCTAATGAGAAGAGAGGGCTCATTCAAAAAGAACCTGATTTTGGGAAAGATTGAAGGCAAAAGGAGAAGGGGACAGCAGAGAATGAGATGGTGAGATAGTATCATTGGTGAAATGAACATGAATTTTGGAAAAACTCCGGGAAACAGAGGAGGAAGTGGGCCTGGCATGCTATGGTCCATAAAGTCAGACTGAACAACAAAACTGTGTGTGTGTGTGTGAGAGAGAGAGCAATCTTCATTAGGAAAGTTAATTCCAACAATAAGACTGGCTTTGTGCCAGTGGTGATCCTTTGTTCTCTGCTCTCTCTCTTTTTTTTCCAGTTCCACCGTCTATGCAAAAAATTATTCCTCATAATGAGAAACTGAGGTTGATCTAACCTTCATGGAATAAGGGAAGCCAAGGTTAGATATGAAAGGCAGCAATGGGTGCCAGCCACCAAGGGAGAGGGAATTAAAAAAAGGGGGTAGTACTGGAACAAGATTATAAGTGCCAGTTGTCCTCTGCAAATACTCCATGGCTTTGTTTGCTAATCTTAATCTACCACAAATTGGGAGAGACCTTTCTATCTTTAGCTGTGCAAATTACACACAAATGACGGTTCTTCAAGGCAGTTATCTTACACCAAATTATGAAGCAAGACCAGTGTGTTTATGGGTGTTTGTGGGTCAATTACAAAAGAGCTTTCACATGATATGGCAGTTGGTTTCCTAAGCAAAAGTGTTCAGGGTACATTTAATTGCCTCTAATAGATAAGGCTAGGGAGAGACAATAGTTCAATGCTGAACCGAAGAATTGAATTTATAATATTTTGCAGATCACTCCAGGCTTTAACCTGTCTTCAGAACTTTATCAGAATAGAGAAAACATCTGGAATGAGAGGAAACTGTAGATGAATGTCAGGTGGTGTATTAGTCCAAGTCTCCTTATCATTTATTTTTAATAAAAGCCGACCAACCTATGAATGGCACAGAGGTATTTCTAATTAGCTTCTATATTTGACTCCTGATATTTCTATCAAAAATGTCAAGAATGGAATCTGGGAACTTTTGTGTGCAACATAGATGCTCTAACACAGCTCTATAATCTTGTATTTTGCAAAGCCCAAATTTCAGGCTTAGTTCTGACTGTTCTGTTCAAACAAGTCCTGTTAAAAGGACTGTGGAAATAATTATCTTTGCCTAAAATAGTCCTTAGCAGTAAGAACAAACAATCTTGGTTTGCCTAATATAGTTTGATTCTGTTTCGCTTATGATAAAAAGGGACAAAGATAATCCTGGTTCCAATTAAATCCCATTTACTCAAGAGGATACAGGGTCTGTGAACTTACCTATGAAGTAGGCTTTTCATAGGATCACACAAGAATGCAGTGGGCAAATGTGTTTCAGGGCAGTGTGCCCACCTTCCTCCGTTTTTGCAGCTTCTGGATTTTTTCACAGAAGCTCACTGGATTCTGGATTTCACTGGATTCATTTCACAGAAATGAAATTTCTGTGGTGCAGCAGTCTCTGAAACAGGGTAACAGCCTTAAATTAATATTGTTCATTCAAAAATTCATTTATTTGTATATTTGCTATTAAAAAGCCTAAAACCTTACAAGCGACATAAAATTACACAATTTCTCCAATTTCAATGAAACAACCATTTTAAAATGATACAATCTGACCATGGGTTGAATAAGTATGTTTGATCTGATGCCAATAAAACAAAATATAGCTATAAGGGATTAGATAGCATGCTAAAAATATGGAATGAATACAGCTGAAAAATCCAGATTTATCATTACTTCTTTTGATATTAAATATTTAATTTTGTGGAGAATTGAACAAAGACATTTGAATAATGGGGAGAGAATTAATACAGACTTCAAAAATTATTAATAAAACAAAGATGAAGTCTTTTGAGATTTTCTCTCAGAATGGTAACAGACAACACACTGGCTTTAATACATAAAATAATCCCAAAGAAATTCCAAAATAAGATTTGACATATAACATGAAAACATATAATATGAAATCTATCACTCAGATCATTTTATATGTTATACTGCTGAAATATGGTTCAGAAAATGAACAAGTTTAGACTGTATGATCAATTGAATGCAGAATTTTAACAGAACAATTGATACCCAACAATGGGAATATCAAATAGAACTTTTGTTATTAATATTAAAATTTATTTTCTAAAAAGTGCTGGAAATGCAAGTCAGGCTGGATCATTCTTCCACTTTTGGTAACAATGTTGTATGTAAGGCAATTCCACAATTCTGGAAAAGGATTTATAAGAGAATGAATCAGAAATTAAAGATGGATTTTTCTTTTCTATTATCTTTTTATAAATTAATACTAAAATTTATGTTCATACAAAATATACTGAACTGAGTTTGTATAGTACAATAGATGGGAACATCTGCTAGACTATTCTGTCCTTACTGAAAGGATGAATAGTTCCTTCTATAGAAAAATTAAATTGTGGAATTACGTAACAATGTCAAAACAACTTTATATTTAGAAAATAAATTTGCTATTGAATTTAACTGAGTTTCAAGGTTCTTTTTAACATAAGAATATAGCATCTAATCTATAAACATTAATTTTTGGTGATTTACTAAATTGTTACATTTTTCCAAAACTACAGATCTTGTTATTTTTCTTTGAGTGGTACAGTAATTTATAAATCCACTTATACTGGTCAAGGCTGCGAATTACTCTACAATGATTTAATTGTAATTTGATTTACTTTAACACTAATTCCAACTTTCAAAAGTATATTTTAGTATTTATATTTATATTAATGCCATTTTAATTTAATATGTTGTTACTTTCATTGTGTTTCTAAACCTTTTTATGTACAACTTGCTTTTTCTATACCTCTGCTGCTTCTTTTTTCATTATATTATTAACCTTAATTAAAATCTTAAGATATTTATTAGTAAAAAATAAAAAGCTAAATGCCAAGGAACAACATATAATTATAGATTACCTAAAGTGTTTTAAAGCAATTTCATTCCAGGAAGAACTCCACAAAAACTTTTGGGAAAAAGCCATTGGAAATTAAATAATTTTAGGACCTGTCTGAAGCCCTGAACTGCTGAGGCCACAGCTATAGTGATTTGTACAAACATGGAGAATGATTATCAGCCCTTCTTCTTTTACACTTAGCCACATCTGGAATGGTGCAGTATGGATGCTATGGTGGTGAACTAGGTTAGGCACGGGATTTTAGTACCATAAATGGATGCTTTGGAGCCATTTTCTAACCGAAAACCACCTTCCATGGCAGAGAATTGGTGAGAGAGCCAACGCTATGGCCAACACTTCAAATATACCCTACCACCTCCAAAAGACTGTCTTTTTTCTGGTGAATTTAACTTATTTAATTTAAAAACTTAAAACCATCACTAAGCCCAAAGTTTTCATTGCTAAACAAGACAGTTGTTAGGTTTTGCCTCATTTTATGACCTTTCTTGCCACAGTTGTTTAGTTAGTAACATGATTGTTAAATGAATCTGGCTTTCCCATTGACTTTGCTCATCAAATCACAAAAGGTGATCATATGACCCAAGGACACTGCAGCCATCATAAATAGATGGCAGTTGTCAAGCATCAAAATTTTAATCATGTGACCACAGGGATGTTGCAATAGCTGTAAGTGTGAAAAATGGTAGCAAGTCACTTTTTTCAATGTCGTTGTAACTTTGAACAGTCACTAAACGAATGCTTTAAGTTGTAAACAAACATCTGAAGCAGTTGAGTGAGATAACTAATAGCATGTTAGTGGATGCAGTGGCCCTTGTATTTTTAGTAGTGCAAAGATTTCCAGCATAAGCAGAAAAACTTTGGAAATAACTCAGTGGATGTGTTCTTCCCCCTAGAAATACATATAAAATGAAATTACATTGTGATTCAATTTTTTGATAGTAAATTGTACCTGGACAATGAAACTGTAGTGTCTACTTTTGCCTGTCTTTAAATATAAAACTAATTTAAAGAAGAGATGACCAATTTCATTAAGACAATTTTTAATGTCTGGCATATAACTTTTTCAGGAATATGTGATATCCAATGTTCAAGTTCAATATATCCAATGATTTTTATAAATTTGAAATATTCCAGATTTGGGGGATATTATTTCATATAATTTAAGTAAATCATGGCAAGATAAATTTTTAATTTGATTCCACTCAAATATTTTAAACAGATTAATATATTATTTATGAAGGTGCCAATATCAAGGATATCCCTGTTAAAATTACATCTCTATTATGGTGATCCATAATGACATGGTTTATTCATTTTTAACTTAAATGGGTTGTGTGTGCCCACATCTTCTCTTTGTCTATTCTCATGAAAATAGGGTTTCCCTCAGTAGGTTGACTTCCTCCTTCCCTGAGCTGCCAACTATCTCTTTTTAATCCAGTTGAGAAGGCAGGCAACCAATCACACAGATTTATACTTCTGCCCAACCCCTCAAAGCAGCTGCATTTTTGCCCCACATTGTGTGGCCAATCCTTTAAAGCAATGTTTTCCGACTTTAGCCATTTTAAGACATATGAACTTCAACTCCTAGAATACCCCAACTAGTAATGCTGCCTAGCAGCCTAGGATATTCTAGGAGATGGTCCCTACATCTACTTTAAAGACTGTACCTCTATTTTAAAGAGAGGTAGGCAGGTATAACCCGTGGGCCCCTGGTTGCTTCAAATAACTGCCTTTCTACCAAATCGCAAGAGCTTCACAACCCTATTGCTCAATGTTCTGGGTTCGCATGATAGTGAACCAGTGTGATCAGCTTGTGGCTGAGTTTTTCCACGCAAATCCAGTCATGTACAGAAAGATGACACAATCGATGATGCACTGCTGGCTGCTGTAGTCCTCTCAGCACCTTGGCACTTACTTCCTTGCTTGCTTTCTCCAAAGAAAACATACGGATGAACAAGCAATGGAGTTGTTGGCTCAAAATTCTCCTCTGGGACTGCAATGGAAACTGATCTAGATCAAGTTAGGCACATCATATCTGGACTGCAAAACTCCAGATGACCTGTAGAGGCAGCAAAAGTATCCCTTTAGTGCCTTCTAATGATCATCTGGATTTTTGCAGCCCAGATATGGAATGCTGAGAATTGACAGGAAAGGAGAGGAATTAAGAGGAGACAAAAAGCCGAAGGGGGCCCTCACAGCACATTATATTCAAGGAGACACTAGATGTGGTCCTGAGGGGATGTTCTGGTCCTACTGGGCAGAGGAGTTTGCTTGTCTCTGATAATATCAATTCAATACATTTTGAAATCCTACTTTTAAATGTTATTAATTTATCAAAATATAAAATACAGAAATACAAAGAAAAATGAAAATAGTGGTAAAATAAGGAAGAGAAACAAAAAGAGAGAAAAGTGTAGGACAGAAGGGGAAAAGAAAAAAAAAGCACTGACTTCTGACTCCTTTTGGTGCAATAGAAAAAGATAATAACATATGACACCTCAACTTTTTACTTTTATATAATATATACTAGCCGCTTCCATAAGAACAAATCTATCTAATCAGCAAAACCTAAAATCAGTTTCATTTTTCTTTTCACTTCAAGCAGTCCTAAAGTGGTTTTCAAGTAGAAACAAAATTAATTATGTTAATATATCGTAGCAGGAAAAGATATTCCTCCGTCTCGTCTTTATTCCCAAATGTTTCCCAGAAGAAGGAACCAACACATAATTGAATTTCCCCCCCCCTTTTTTTTTTAAAAGAGAGAATTCCATCTGTTTATAGCCTCAAGCAGTCAGGTTCCTCTTGAACTGGTTTTTGGTGATCTGAAGTCAGCTACAGAAATGCTGAGGGCATGCTGGTATTAGACTCATTTTATTTTGTAATGTATCTGACCGCTTAGCAAGAGGCAGCATGTTATGGTGGTTAGAACATCAGAGCAGGCCTGGGAGAGGTTTGGTGCACATATCACACTAAGTTGTGGCTTGAAGCCACAATAGATGTACTTACGGAACATACTAAGTTAACAAGAAGCAAACATGATCTGCCCTTGATGGTTGTGGGAACCAGTCCCTCTTTCAGCCTATTCTAGCTCTCCCAGGATTGAGTTTCCCATAATAATAACATAATATTTAAATATTTAAATACAGATTCCAATCTTTGCCCATCTACCAACCTCAAATCCCCTATTCATTTCATGCTTTAGCGATACGTTCTTAAATTGAACATACCGTATTTTCCGGCGTATAAGACGACTGGGCGTATAAGACGACCCACTACTTTTCCTGTTAAAATATAGGGTTTGGGCTATACTCGCCGTATAAGACTATCCCTCTTCCAACGCACACCAAATAAAAATTAAAAAAACATCAACTGGCTCACCCACAATGTAAAAGCAGCTGTGCTAGACCCAAAATGGCCCCTGAAACAAGCAGGAACCTCACACAGCCCCAAAAAGCCCCAAAAAACAACTTTCACGCTTTACACACACACAACACAACACAACACAACACAACTGGCTCATCCACAAT